GCGTCCCTTACGAACCTTCATCTACCCGGGTTTTGATTGTGACTCATGTGTTGCCCCCAGCCAAAACATATCAAAACGGCGACCCGAAAGGTCGGAAAGGAATTGAAAATCCAGTGGATGAACATTTCTGGTGGAGTTGAGCATGTCTGGTGGAGTTGACCATAAAATCGAACTGCTTGTGGTTGACCCAAAATCTCCGACCAAAAAGAATCATGCAAATAGCTTGGGTTTATTATTTCTTAGAAGGCGTGCCCGACAAAAGGGCATCTCAAGGGCACACAAAAGGATCTTTTTTTTTGGGGTTGACCATTGTTAGCGGAGAACCGAAAAGGAAGACAAGGTGTCATGAACAAAACTCGTTTCCAGAGATCCAGCTGTTTCACCATACCCTCAGGCGTCGAAACGACATGTAGGTGGACCCATGTTGGATGGGGGATTGGAATCGAAACTGAGCAGAATCTGTCTTAAGATATTCTTCAGGGGACCCCCAACCACCCGCAAACGCACCTCCTTGAAAAAAAAAGAAAACATTTGTTGGAGGTGTGTTTGGGGGGTGGTGTGGTTGGGTTCTAGGAAAAGTTCTACGATGTCCACAACTGAGTTCGGGTCATCGAGTTCTCTCTGGACCCTTCATCAATCGGCACAAACTTCCAGTCCTCAGAAGTTACCAGGCATCCAAATGTCCTGTTGGCTATCAATTTCAAGGTGTACAAGCGCCATGCTTGAAACTCCATTCCCTTACTCACAATGGTTGTCTGAAAGCCCAAGGGATTGATGATCGCCCCGAACCTCAAGGAGTGTGTCTTTGTTAAGGGTACAATCTTGCTTTTTTCTGGGCGAGGAGGCCCCCCATTTAGAGACAAACCCCAATTAGTGTTGTGACCACACCTGGGATGTATCAAAACTGGGGGTTTCCTGTTGGTTCCCTTGAAATCCACCAAAAAATGGTACCCTCAAAAAAGGACACGCCCACATCAAACACCCACAGAAACGAACAAACTCTCTAAAAACGGAAACGGCCCGGCCCGCATCCGGATGCTGCCAAGGCTCCGCAAGACCCCTCGCAGGTGCGTAGGTCCTGCAAAAAAACCACAAGCCAAAAAACTCTGGGCCCAGCTCCAACCTCTGGTGAGGAATGGTCCTGGTGCATGAACCAGGATTTGTGGAAAAACGTGCAAACCCCCCGCCACTCAGGGCCTTGGGAAAAGTTCCTTGTGCCTGAAACTTGGTGGGTCTGCTCGTCCCAGGCAAACTGCCGATTTGGACCACGCACTTCGCATTGAGCAGCTCTCAACAAAAACCCACGGAGTTTGGGTTCGACACGGCTACAAAGGTTTGCATAGGCCTTACTGTAAACCCATATGGGCATGTCTTCTTTTTGAGGGTACTAGTACCCTTTTTGGCTTAGTCTACAGGGAAACCAAAAGGAAACCCACCATTTTGGCGGCTCCAACCTTGAAATACACGAGCCACCCAGATGAAGCCAGGCTTTCCCCAACCACCTAAAAAGAGTTAAAACCCTTTCGGGCATCGTCGTGTTGGAAAGAATCCGCCGAGTTCTTTTGACCGCCCGGTCCCCTCCGACGTCGACTTTTCCGGGCGCCGGGCAAGTCCGGACACGCGAAGTTCACCACGGACCTCGCGAGGCGCAAAGGCAGCTGCGAAACCCCAAAGCTGGCCTCATGATGATCAAAGTCTGTGGCACTTAGTTGCACTGAGCGAGGCGCAAAGAAATGACCCCCGACTTTGAGGGGTTAAAGGGAAACAGTCCCATGTTCTGACTTCGATGACACCCAGAAACCGGCAAAATCCTGACCCCAGGTTCTTTTGGTTTGGATGGGGGAAAGATGGAATTTCTGGGGGAGGGGTTCTTGGCGCTGGACGAAATCCAAGACCGCACCACCAACGAAATGACACATCCTTCTTTGGCGAATCAAATCCGTTCCAGGGTTTCTCAAGTGCAGAAAATGCGACCATCCAAAAGTATTGGTTTGCCATCCTCTTCGGATCTTGGCGTAGAACCTGTGCAAAGTGTACAAAGGGTGCAGTACATCTACATACCTCCAGTTTCAGCCCGACTGTCGGATTCATCAACAAACCCAATCCCAAACAGAACCAATCCTCAAACAATTCCTGATCCCTGGCCCGGAATCCTGAAACCCTGTGCAGTTCCAGCCAGGGTGGCTCCATTGTTGGTCTTGGGGAAGAAATGGGAGGGAGCCCGAAAGAAGGAAACTGCCACAGGAGGAAGCCCAGGAAAGTTCTGTCAATAGACTCTTCACGTGCCCCTCGGCCTTTTTGTTGCAGGGTAGAGTTTGGTTCGTCGCCACAACGCACCCTCAGAACTCCAAACACACCTCCCCCAAACCCCCCAAAAAATTAAACACCTCCAGATTTGGTCTATTCTTCCCCAAGCTCCCCCTCCCCCACAAACAACCACTCCCTCCAGTTTTCCCGAGGTTTGTGCGTGTTGCCTGCCCCCACACGTTGAAAAACAGCCACCCCCGAAGCCGGACGTCTTTCGAAGCCAAAACACGGCGCCAGTGTGGGCCGGTTCTTCAGGAGTTCCGAGATGACCTGAGCGGTCAAAACACTCAAACACGGCTTCTAGCGCCATACATTATGCAGATGTGTTCTTCGATTTCTCGAAAAAGACGAAAAAGAAAAAACTGTACTTTGTGTGTTGTGTGTTTTGCTGCTCGTAAAACTCGATGTACGAAAGGAGCCTACCCAAAAATCGTACAGAGATTGCGGCCTGCTGTCCCCGAGCTTTTCGTGAGCCCAAGAGAAACCAAGCCGATGGGACGGCGCGAAGTGAGCCCCCCCTTTGAGCTGGCTTCGGGGCTGGGTTTGGTATCATCAGCTCGGAACTTACCAAAAAAAGGGCCAGTTGGTACCATCTACCTGGGTGCAGACTCAAGACTCCATGTTCTGAACCGGAAAAAGAAGAGTGAAGCCCATTTTTTCCACGAGGCCAAAGAGCCACACAGAAAAAAAGAGTCTTTTGCTCAGGGGGTATCCCCAACTGCCAAAACCCCAGCCTGCCGCTCCCAACCACTCCGGAGAAGCGAGCTTCTCTAGAACCCCATAGCTTTCAGCCGGGGAGAACAAAAAGCAAGTTTTCTGGCGAACCCCCCCCCCCCCGGTTTTTGACGCCTGCTTTCCATTGAATCTGAGGCCCAGGTCGGAAGTTGACCCATCGAGTACTTACACCTCCCTCGCTCTCCCTCCCTCCCTCCCTCCCTCTCTCTACTGGTGACGTAAGAAACCTTGCGGATTTAGATGGAGCGGAACGCCCCAAATGGGATTCACCCGTCTGAATCACTCCTAAATCAACATACTCCGGGGAAGTGACCCTCATCATGATTTTAAGTCGCAAACCGGACATCGGGAATCCCCCCGATAAAGGACCCTCATCATGGGGTAAATCGCTCTTCCCCTCCCCATGTCTCGGCCCCATGCGGAGACCGCCTGCTCCCGAGAGGTGGTGCACAGTGCATTTATGAAGGCCTCGCTGGACGGGAGCACACAAAAAACGAAGCATTTGGGTGTGTCTGTTTGAGGCTCGGTTCGCTTTTCAGACAAAGGAAACCAAACAGAAAACAACGATGTTTCTTAGAATGCGGGCGTGTGCTGTTGGAGGGTCGGCACCCTTTTCCATGTTTTGAAACCACAAGGAAAACCAAAGCCGATGCTTGCGATCCAAATCCATTTTGACAGGTACCCATCTCAGTGCCTGAATAATCATTGGGGTGGGGGGGGGTACTTCCAGCCTGTCAAAACTGCAGTTGTTCTTTCCCTCGTCGCATTGAGTTTCCTCGCTCCACTTAATACCAACACGCAAAACTCTGTGTTGCCTGGGTCTTCGGTTTGGACACAGAACCTGATAGTTCTAGGCGGGCCCCACCCCGCTCCGGGCTCTCTCCGATCAAAAGACAACGGTTCAGAAACCCCTTGGTGTTTGATTGGAAACTCAAAGGAACCCAACCGTTTTGGGGTCCAACATGTCTTTTAAGACTTCCTTGAAGGGGCCCTTAGCGTTGTGAGAACCTTGCTGCGAGGGGGGGCCCTTCTAACGTCTCTCCCCGTGGCCGATTTCTTCACCAGCCCCCCCCCCCCCCGGCCCCCGGTCCCTCTCCACCTCCGTATCCACCATGGCAACGATGACACGCGGGGGTTCCCGCGCCCGCCACTCAGTACTCTGCGTGTGGCCGTTTCTCTTTGCCAAGGTCGTGCTTTATTGTGGGGCCTGACTTGTCAGGTGCATTTTTTGCTTTTTAATGGGGCAATTGTCCATCCTCGGATCCGATGTCTACCTCTGGATCTTGTCGTTTCTCAGCTGAAAGACATATCCGGACTCTCACAGGGATCCTTACAGTATACACCTGAACATTGCCTTGCAAATGGTGGTTTCCCTGTATTTTGGTGGAAAAAGCCATGTTTCAATTGGGCAAAATGTATCTTTTAAGGAGCCCTGTCTCAGAAATCGGGACTCTCATCGGGATCCAACGTCCTTCCTCTCCCGGATCGGAAAAGGTTTTGAGAGCATCGGCATCCATCCGCGACGCATGTTGGTCAACCTGCCGGGTCTCAAGCCCTCAGCTCACCGTAGGAACCAAACAGCGGTTGCACGCGGGTTCCCTAGATGTCCCCTGAAAAAACATCACTACCAAGGGCAACTCTCCTTAAATGGAACAAACGGGTGATGTTTCCCATGAAACACCATCTTCCGCTAAATAAGGTGACAAACACCGGTCTACCTGGTGCCCCCTTCAACAACAAAGCCCACGAAACTCCGGATTTCGAAAGCTCGAAGCCATCGTTCTGCCAGGGGCGTTGAAAGCAGCACCCCGTCGCCCGTCTGACCGGGGCTCTCGGCTGAGTCGCGCTGTTTTCGTTTCTTAGAGGAAGCCGTTGCTTTGAAGGCTCCACTCTCCGAGCATGGCGTCGTCATCTTTTCTGGGTGCCATCCATTTGCTGGGTGCCCTGCGGGTGTCCGGTTGCACGACCCAAACATCGCCCCAAAAGAGACGACGCATGCAACCGCTACCAGGCAAGTGGTGAGACACCGGGAGTCACAGGTCGACAGAGGCCCATGGTCCCGGACGGGGAAAACCTGCCGCGCTCACATGCCGCAGCAGCCCAGGCGTGTGCCCGTGGCGGTGGGGCAGCAGGCCCCAGTCACCTACCAGCCAAGTGCTCCAATTCCAGAAGTGCCCTCCAGAAGGACAAAAACGTGGCTGCTGAGGTCTATAGCTCCGAACAAATGGCTCTTTTTCTGCTTCAGTTTGTCCCTTTCAGAGAAGATGCAACAAACACATTGATTATGGCAAATCCTTCAGTTCCAATGGGGAAACGACCCTCCAAAAAGTATGTTTCTTTGACAAAAATGTAGGGGAACACCCATTTTCCACCAGGTCAAAAGTGCTCCTTGCGCTATCTCGCGAAGTGACACGCACGCCTCCGCACGTCTCTTGCGCCAAGTCACGTTGAGCATCACGCAGGCCGGGAAGCTCGAGCACTCCGAGCCCGGCACCATCTTGACCTAAGCAAAGCTGCCAAGTGGAAAGTCAGAGACCAGGGCCGTGGCAAATGGAATTTGCCATTCCGAGCTTCAAAAACCACATTTTGGAGCCGGTCCTGGAAGTGGCTGTGCTTTACTGCAGTTTATATCAGAATGACACATTTTAGCTCAAATGTAGAGAATTCCACTTCTGTGCAAAAAAGTCTGAGGGTACCTTCCATGTCCATTCTTTCCAGGGATCCGAATCTTTCTAGAAAACCTCGAGATACCCAGGGAAAACGGCGGGTTATTGAAAATAACGATGGTTGAAAAGAATGGGGAATCAGCCCCTGAAAAAAAGGCTTCCCAAAGACTAACCCCCAATGTAAAGGGGGAGACTCCCTTGCATCACAAAAGTGGGAATAAAGCCTTTGATCCCACAACCCTGCCACAGACTTTCCATGTTCAACCTGCTGAGTGGGCCAGGGGTTGGTTGACTCATATCCAGAGTTATAACTATATAACCTGCTCACGTAGTTTGAATAAGTTGGATTTAGGCGCACGCATGCTTCGAAGGCACACCTTGCCGAAAGAACTTGGCCAAAACCCAGCATTGGACTCACTCAAAGTACGGTTTGGTCCCTTCAAGCGGAAATTGATCCAGGCAGCCTCCCGCAGGTGCCTTCAGTTGGAGGAAAGGCTATGTCTACAGCCCGAAGGCAACTTTTACATACGGGTTTCCAAGCCCCACTTGTTCGGCCGTACATCCTCCCCTGCAAAGGCCATGACCTAAGGCCTCGACAAAGGGGTGTGCGGGTTGCACCCCCCAAAAAAATAAAATTAAAAAACAACTGGAAAGGGTAAAAGGTGTCTTTTGTTGCGGAACCATCGCACCGTCGCGATCTTGTCTGAGTTGTATCGAGGCATGAGGCTTGAGCCAGCTGCCCATCTGACTTGAAAAGCGCGGCAACACTCAGCCAGCCCCGCACCCCCAGCCGCCTGCCTGCTGGATGGGCGGTGGAAAGCCCGAGCAGCAGCCCAAGCTCACCTGGAGGGACCAAAGCGTGCCAGCATGTCTAGTGTGTCTGGCCAAGCGTTTGATGCCCAAACAAACCTACATTCCACACCGACCCATACCCATACCCTACCCCACGTACCCCACATGCCCCAAACACACACACACAGACACACACACACACACACACACACACACACACACACACACACACACACACACACACACACACACACACACACACCACGTGGTATAGACCGCACTAAGGACCTTCCTTTACAACGGATGTTTGGGCTCCATGTTGATCTGCCGGAGTGTAAGGCGTGGTCAGGGTTGGGCGGTTCAAGCTCTCTCGTGTAAACACTTGCAGAAACTCGTCTCGTGAAACAACCAGACTGGGGAAATCCTAGTTTGCTACACAGGTCCATTTGGACCAAGATCCGATCAACCGGCCCAAGACCCTAAACACCCAGCAGTCGCAAGTTGTTGAAACAGCCTCCTTTTGGTGTCGCGTTAAAGCCGACCCGGACTAGGTTGTGTAAAGAAGCGGAACTGCAACTATGAAGTGTGTGACGTACAGCATGGGTTGCTGGAGGATGGCAAGGTTCCTGTTGATTCCCCGTAAACAGAACTCTGAAAGGGACAGGTTCTAGCAGAACGGCATGGATCGTTGTGGCATCTAGTTCCGCGAACATTCATACAGCACCTCACCCAAAAATACATAAATCAAAAAAGCAACACTGAAAAGTTGACTCGGAAACAGCCGCCTATGCAACCCCCAAACAAGCGTTCAAGGTTCAGACGTCGCAAAGCAGGCTCACACAAATTCTAGTATAATATGTCGTAATAAGGTTTGCTGTTCTGCTCGTCAATGATTTTGTTGGTATGTTGTGCATGCAACCACAACTGGTGTTTCTTGCAAGTGCGGCAGTTCGCGATTGACACAATACGTTGGCACAATCACCATGTACCTCGGAAGTTGCATAGGTGGTATATTCCAGAACGCAGTTCATGCTTGCAATCAGCAATCATGCTTGCAACGCAACCACACCGCCAGTCCTGGGGGAAAAAATTAGGCGCATCCTTTCAACAGGACTTGCACACCCTCCATTTGGCGGGAGGCTCTTTGGCTCCCAGACTTCCCTTCGCCTCAGCATTGGGCCAATTCCTTTGCACAAGCTTGAACCACTATGGTTTGCGCAACCTCCGACACAGCTGCCTGCAAACCACAGGACCGAATCGGGGACCCTTTGATCTCAAGTTCCTGCCAGCGCCACTTGCTGAAGCACTCTCCTGTTCTTACATTTGCTTAAGCCCCTGGAAAAAACAGACATGTTTCCAGTAGTGACAGATTCCCTTTAAAACCAGCAAGGGAAAATAAAATGGAAAAACAAACTTAAGCAAATGGATCCTTTGGCTTCGTTTTATCTGGAACCAGGGCCTGGCTGTCATACAGTCATACGGTATCTCTCCCCCGCGCCTTGTCGGCGTTGGGACAGCAGTCCCCTTGGTTCATGCCCATCATCATGCAGGCGGGGTACGCGGAGCAGGCCGTGCCGTTCACGCCCGGAGAAGGCGGCGCCACCTCCGCAACCTTCTCTTTCACCTCCGCAACCTTCTCCCCCGCCTGCATCAAGGGGAGTGCAGTTTGGATCTGGCCGGTTTTTGAGGGAACGAACCCTGGAAAGCGTGATTTTGCTTGCCTTCCCTTGGAACCCAAAAAAAAGGGATAGCCCACAGCCTCAAAATGGTCTCGCTGTTTTCAAGGACCCCCGATGACGAAAATGTTGAGAGGCCCCAAATGAAACCAGGCACAGTCCTCCACAGCCAGAGCACATCGTGCCCCGCTGGCCGAAAGGCAGCGACGTTGCTGTCCGGTCCGGGTTGGATCCAGGGTATGTGGGTGATATTTGAGTTGCCACATACCCAAATCGACATACCAAGACCAAGGTTCCCCCGAAATCATCCTTTGATGTGTATACTATATATATACACGTGAACATGGCTTTTGATTTGAGGCTATTCTCCAAAACCTGTAGGCATACCTCCTCTGCATCCTGCAAGCTCTTGCCTGCTGGACACCGCCAAGGGCGGCATCAGCACCCCAAGTACTGACCGCCTCAGGCTCCTGGCGGGAGGAGAGACGAAGAGGGGGCGAGACCCAAAGCACGGAGCAAGCGAAGATCATCCCCGGAAAATGTGGCCATGGGTCAAAATCCAAATCGTACCCCCCAGTGAACATCAACCAATCCAACCACTGAAATAGGTTCTAAAATGGGTCGTGAATTCACCTACCAGCCAAAATGGGATCCCAAAACGGTTTTGACCCACAAAACCAAAGTCCAAAAAGCAGAGCGCACAAAAAAAACAAATCGGGTTCTGGGGCATCTTCCACGCTGCCTGGGATATCCCAAGTCCAAAACGACCCAAAGTGTAAATTCAAAAAACAAAACAAAACAAATCATGAGGAAAAAAAGAACAAAAAAAAGTCGCAAAAAATGGGGAAAAAAAAGAGAAAACAAAAAGGGGGGGAGGGGAAAAAAAGAAAAGGAAAATTGCGAGCTTACCCGCCTCCACGAAGCGGCAATCCGGGGGCCCCGTCACCGCCTCGGAGAACTGGAACGGCGTCGCCTCGAACCGAAAGCCGAAACCCGAAACGGAAAAGACGAGCGCCCGGGTGCGGCGTTTTTGGTTCCTCTGTTTTTTTCCCCTGAGAGTACCCCTGGTTTCTGCGTATTGAAAACCAAACAAAAACCCGCCATTGCTTTTGTTTTGAGTTGTGTTTTGCTTGTTGTTGTTTGTTTGTTTGTTTGTTTTTTGGGGGTGTCCCAAAAAACACCCGAGTTGCTTCAGCAGGGTCCGATAACATAAGTGTTTTGACAAGGGGTATAAACGATCTTTCCAGCAGAAGCACGCTTATGGGTTCTGTCTTCAACTAGCGACATGCTCGGCGCTATGTCAAATTCACCGAGCCTCCCAACGAATGCTGCACATGAAATCGTTTTGCCACTGTGTTTGAAGGAGTATCCGAGCGCATGTATTGCGTTGGATCAAATTCATCGACCCAGCAACAGCCCCTGTTTGATTGATTGCTCAAAAAGAGCTCCCGTCGTTGCCCCGCTGCCGAAGCGTCGTTATGCGCGCATATTCCTGACCCCCTTCAATGCCCATGGTAACTTTTCCCTTAAATCATCTTTAAGCGGTTTTCCCCAATGGTAATCCCAGGTAAAGGACCTTTTGATCCACCCCAACCTTTTTGCCAAAGCTGGTGTCTATATGCATGGCGGAAGGCGCGCTTTCCAGTGGACGTAGGGGGCGAGTTGTTGTGGGGGTGCTGCCTCCAAAGCTAATAAATCTCCACTAAAAGGGGCCGACTTCTGAATTACGGAAGGGGACCTGTCAAAAAGGAGATGTTCAGCGCTGCCAGTCTTTGCAATCCTAAGCTTCCAGCCCGGTCCCCAAGTCCCCAATTCCCGAAACTCCCGCGACGAAAACCCGCGCTCCTCAGGAGATTCCCCTCCCCCCCCCCCGTCGGTGCACGCACCAGCTCTGCACCAGAAACTCATCTCTTCGCATCCTGGCTCCACTTGGTCAACTTATCTGCCCAAAAGCAACAAACCAAGGCCGACCGGCGAAACGGGCCTTCAAAGTGGCCTCCGGCCCGCTGAGCAAGCACCCCCCGTCCGGCCAGAAAGTGAAGTGCGCGCAGCCGCCCACCTGGAAAGGGGACCGGTTCGCCGAATGGGGAACGCCCCAAAGGTGCCAAATGGGGCCCGTATTTGAGTCACTCAACCAGAATGATTCATCCTGACTCAAAACAATCTGGGCAAAGCCGCAAAGAAAAAATACTCTGTGTGTGTGTGTGTTCATTCATGTGTCTCTATGTGTGCGTGTGTGTATGTGCGCATGCGTGTGATGTCGTGTGCACCTGTATCTCCACACGTCCGAGGTCTTTGAAAAAACTCTTACGCGGGCCTACCGGAACGATGTAAATCAACAGGGCCACCGCACGCTGCACCTGCCACGCCCCAACCCCAACCGCCCCCAACCGCCCCCAACCGCCCCCAACCGCCCCCAACCGCCCCCAACCGCCCCCAACCGCCCCCAACCGCCTGGCTGCAACGCTGCTGGCACATCACGGCGGTTTCCTCCATCATCCGCTCAGTGCCCATCATCTTGTGGGGGTTGGTGTAGAACATGCCCACCTGTAGCCAAGTGGACTCTGACACTTCAAATGCGGTCCCATTTCAGGCCCAATGTGGACCCTGACACTTGCACCAAAAATATGGGGGCTGTGGCGCGCAACAAACAAGCGCTGAGAGTGGATGATCCGTGCTTTGTAGCAACAATTTCCTCCGTTGGCTGTTGACTTGTCGTAGCCCAAGCCCCCAACGCAGGTGAAGGACGTAGAGAGATGCACTCGCAGCGCCCAGCCTTTCAATCGGACCTAAGCCTCGTGTCAAATCCAGGCAGCCATCGGGAAAAAAGGGCACTCTGTTTGTGGTTGATTTTTCAAGGGGAACCCCTCCACAAAAAAGTGAAAAAGGGGGAGAAAGGGCACTCACTCTGTTTCTGGTTGGTTAATGTCTTGAAGAAAGGGCTCGCAACTCACTAGGAATCGCATTCCACTGGAATCGGCCAATGGGGATGTGTCAAAATGGAGGTACCACCAAAATGGTGTATGTCCTTTTGGTTCCCCTTTCAACCGACCTGAAAAAGGGTACCCTGAAAAGAAAAGAACACATGCTCAACTAGCATTTTCACCATCTTCACAAAGCTTACTTTGGCAATCAACGTGTCGCTTGCGCCAAACCCGGAAAGAACTGAAAAACACAAACAAGAAGCAGGCGGAATCAACCAAAAATTGTCTCTACCCTAAACCCCAACCCCTGCAAATAAACATGGAACCGTGAAAATAGATCCTCCAGCTGCCTGAGGTTCAGGCTCGGAACTTTCGCAAGCCCCTCTACGGTGGACCTCGTGAAAATGGTGTCCACCAAAGAAGTCCCCAAAAAACAACATAATTTTAATAGTTGGGGAGCCCACGAATTCCAATGATTGGCGAGCCCCTTTTGTGGACATCTTTTTGTTGTCATAGCCCCATGCTAACTGGCAAGGCAACGCCACCTCCCTTCCCGCCTTGAAGCAGTCCGACATGCTCTCCAGCCCCAAGAGCTCGCCAGTGGCCCCGCGCAACTTGGCCAAAGACCCGGCCTCTCGCGGTCTCGGCTTACCAATTCAAGTCAAGGGCGCCGAAGGCGATCACCGACAAACTCAGGCGACCAAGATGGGTTTGTCTCACAAATTTGGGATCCCTCGAAATGTGCGGCTTCCTAGAACCATGGCAAAAAACGGCGCAGGTTTTGTCGCGGCGGATGGGAATGTTTGGCCAAGACTCACCTGGACTATTCTCACATCGCATCTGCCACAAGTGGTGGGCGAAATGGAAACCCAACCACTAAACCAACTAAAACTGATCTAAAAACAGAAGGAACTGGATGGCTGGGAACCAAGCCTCACAATGCCGACAAACAAATGTTCAAATACTCCCGGCGCAGAGAAAATGGAAGGTCCCCCGGCCCCCCAATTTCCATTTTTCCGTTTCCCTAAGGGACTGAGCCTCGCCTTCGCCAGCGCGAGCGCCGCTAGGCCGAGAAGCCCCGCGAGCGCCGCATACCGCGCCGCGCCCCAGCGCCGGGGCGCCGCCTGCGCACCGGGGCGGGGGACGCTTGGTGCTTCGAAGGGGCTGTGACTTGTTGACCTGCAAAGATCACCCAGAGGGTTGACCCGCAAAAATCATCCCAGACGTGTTTTGAGTGTTCAAGGTCTTTTGACTGGGTGCTAGATTGTTAAATCTCATTGGCCATGCTTCAGCGATTCAAGCTGGACTTCTTGCGGACCTAAAAAGTGCAGGTGGCCTTTGATTTGTTGCGCCACAACCCCCCCCCTTCCTCTTTTGAAAGAAAGGGCACCTGATAGCCACCAGAACTGGTGCCCAGACAGGTCCCTGAAAAAGGAGAAAATGGGAAAGAAAGGAAAGAGGTCAGGACCAAATTAAGTGCACTGCAACACGTGTCCCTCAATCACAGGTGCACCACTCTCTGCGACGGCACCAACGAAAAACTGTTGACGCTTCATTCTGAAAAAGACATCGCTTCTCACTAAGCCGCGCTGCTAAAAACGAAGGAACACGGCGTGCCACAAGAAACACGGTGTGCTCCGAAAGCACTGGACCCCACCAAGACTTGCCCTCTCTCTCTCGTGGGCTCCCCCAACCAAAAAGACACGACGGAGCCCAAGACGTCCTCCGGCCGCTCTTCCAACAGCCCCTCAAGGTCCGAAGGGTTCGTCGGGTTCGCCATCGCAGTGCGTTCCGCGCTTCGCGGTCGGCGAGCTGGGTGAGGGAAGGAATCGCTCGAGCCAGAGCTTTGCACCTCTTTTGGACAGGAGGCGTATGACACTTGGGGTCGATTTTGGAGCCACCTGTTGTTTTTTTTCGGGTTCGAGTCTGCGAAATTCGCAAGATGCCAAGGCACCGACCCAAAGGCTTGACCAGAAGTGAATCATGCAAAGGGGTTCTGGGTGCCCAAGCCCTCCAAGTCCAAAGCTACATGTCACCAAGTAACCCCAAAACTTGGTCAAACTTCAACCTCAAGCCAAGGCTTTCGCAGATGTTCTTGGCGCATGTTTGTCAAGGGCAAATATGTAAGATGGTATTAGGTGGGGACTGACCAGCATTTTGCTTGTTCCCTGTAGGAAAAACGTAATACCGCTAAACAAGCGGTTGATTTCGAATCTTCGCCGGGCGAATCTTGGACCGGGCTTCTTTGAAGAACCATGCCGTCGTTTCATGTTGCGCACAACCACTGGTTTGAGGATCTCATTTTGGTTCCAGATGGGTGTTTCCTAAAGCGAGGTAACTTTTGGGATGTCTGAGGGACGCCAGGAGGCAAGCGCCGGAAGGTTTCAGCGGTTGTAAAGGGCAAAAGGGGTTGCCACCATTTTGCTCATGGGGAATTGTGTTCTATGCAAAAAATGTGGGGCGGCTTGCGCCCTGGCAATGTTGCAAGCGTCAACCTAAGAGTGTGCGAACAGATTGCAGTTCAAGTGGGGATGCTAGAATCCGACAGTTTGAATTTTGAGCGGTCTGCGATCTCAACCAGTACACTCCTGAATCTGTGCAGAACATTGTCCATTGTCCATACTTTAGCCACACACCTCCAGTTGCTTAAGTCCCCTGAAGAACATAAACATATTTCCAGTAGTGACAGATTCCCTTGGGAACCAGAAGGGATACTCTTTTTCAATAAAATGAAAGCAAAGCGGACGGAAGAGGTCCCGAAGAATTGGACTGTGATCTGAGCCCCGAGCCCTTCCCCCACCCTCGCAACGCACACGAGCCACCATCAAAACCCGGATATGCTTCCGGTGAAACCAAGATCTTTTCAGGGTACCTACCTTTCCTGGCTGGTTGCAAAGGGAAACCAAAGGAAAACCACCTCATTCTGGTTGAGACGGTCGAAACTGAAGCAATCCAGGTAATGATTGTGGCTCTGGTGGTTTCTTGACGTCTTTGCGGCCGCCCGGTCGGGAACCGCCAACCGCAAGCCTGGCTTGCTCGCTTTGGGACCGTGACACTTGGGGGCTTTGGGGTAATTTGGAGGTCATTCGCAGCGGCCGGGGATGGGACTTGCACTTTCCCGTCTAATGGGTTAGTTGCACGACTGCGAAAGTTGCAACTGATTGAAACCAAAAAAGAACCGACCGGTCGGCTGTTGTCACCAAAAAAGCATGAACCAATTGCCAGAATCTTTCACGCCCCCTAATCCATAAAACCTGCCACCTGGCCCTTCCCTCTGCTGCCAAGTGTCCTTTCTTCTTGGCGAATTGATCAAGTAACGCACGGATCAACTTGAACAGCATGAAAATGGAACTACCCAAGGCGGGTTCTCAGGGTTCCTCGGTTTCGGCCTTGTGAGTAATGCTTATTTGGGACCTGGCCGAGTGTCACTTGACTCTACATTTTGACGGTTGAAATTCACACCTTGCACTCCCGGCCGGCAGATCGCAAACCAAAATGCTCCCCCTGCAAGTAGACGAAACAAGAGCCAAATGGACTCTCATCTTGAAGGGCACCGATTTTGGGGCTGGTTGGGTTGGTTTAAAGGGACACCAAACGGACAAATGGGGATCGGGGATGGGGATTTGGCCGGGGAAAGCTTGAGAGGCTCAAAGTGGAAGGAGACCCTTCCCTTGGCCTCAAGCGTTGCCCTCTCCAAATTGCACGACGTTGAGACCCGAAAACCCGCCAGCGGCGTCTTCCAAACTCCCCCCCACCCCACCCCGGTAAGTAGTAGAGGCTTCATCAATCAGTCCACCTTACCCACCGCTCGCGGAAGATAAGATCAAAGCCAGCTGTGAGGAACCCAGTCTTTTTGCAGTCCACAGTGATTCCCAACTACCAGCGAGCTGCTTTGAGAACTTAACCAGAATTCTGTTTTGAAAGCCTAACGCCAAATCCAGTCGTGTTCCTAAGAATGGGTTGGGAATCCATTGGGTGACATGTATGGCTTCGAGCACTAGGTTCCGAAAACGGTGCAAAAACACACGATAGGTAGACCCCCCCCCCCCGAATCTCTGGCCCCCCTTACCCAGTGCGCCTGTGCTTCTCAGCTGGCTGGGCAGTCCGTCACTTGCCTACGTGGCGCCTCAGCTTCCGCAAAGTGCATGCCACTCGTGGCATCATCACATCGGGTGTGAATACTTGGCTGGAATTAGGACCACAGCAACAAATGTGCTGTTTGCCAAAGTAATGGAAAACAAAGTGGGCCAAAACAAAACAAAAACAAAAAACAGGGGAGCTCATTCTGAGGAAGAACAGTACTGGATCCTGGACTAACCATTTTTCAGGGCGTCCTCGCAGAAATGCATCGTATGGTCTTCCATTTCTGGCGGCGTTGCTCAGACACGCCCCAGCCAAAGGGTCGGAGACAGCGCGCGCCGCCATCGCTCCGAGTCCCGCGCTCAGGTGCCGAACAAAGTCCTTCACGTAGTCGAAGCAGGCGTCCTGTTTTGAGCATATCATGCCAACCGAAAGGTGAAAGTCCAGAGATCCCGCCAAGTGGGTTGTCAAAGGAGACCCCCCGAATGGCCACGCTGTCCTTGTTAGTCCCAGGAAAAGCAACCCGAAGCAGGTACCCTCCCAAACAGCTACCATGGAAGTGACCGTCTTCCCGAGCGAGTGCGCGCCTGCGGCATGTTGTTGTGGCCGTAGCCCTGCAACCAAAGCCTCGGCTGAGAACGAGCCAAACCCATATCGCTCGAAACTCGAAACTCCCTTGACTTGGGGCTCCGGCGAAATCCCAAGGAGCGTGGAGGGTAGGCGGAGGTCTTGCTTTTCGTTTGGGGGAAGGGGGGCCAAGTAACCCCCGTTTTTGGAAAAGAGCTCATCCCCCTTGTCCTTGACCCGACGGCAAACTTCGGCCTATCACTTGCCAATGTTCCCGCAAACTTTCTGGCAGCTTCAACGAAACTCTTTGGACTCTGAGCCTTCAGGAACAGGCCAATGGCCGTCCAATGGGCCGGGAAAGAGAGACAGGCTGAGGTATCACGTGCCTATGATGCATTGTTTGAGACCGGGAGAGGTCAGTCTCTTTGACTCACGCTGAATGATTGGGATTGACTTCCATTTCGTATGCATGTCAATATTTGTGTATGGGTCAAAATAGGGCACCCAATTTTGATGTTGTTCCTTTTGGCTTCGCTTTGAATCAACCTGAAAAGAATACCCTCAAAAGCAGCTACCCATTTGGACACATGCGGTTGGACTCACCCTTGGAATCCCCTGCAATGCTATGGACCCTTCACTTCTCACAAGTGGAGGAAACTGCGGGTGTGGCAACCCATGGTTTGGCGCTACACCGAGAATCAGATTTCAACTGATTATGCCTCATATTTGGTCTATCCTAAAACATCGTGGAGACGCTCCTCGCATTTTGGACCTTGGCTTCCAAGCCAAGGAACATGGGTTCCCCAGGTTAAAAACATGCCTTCTTGATCGGACTCCATCCCTTCTTACAGGAACCTCCTTTGGGAATTGGACCGTTGAGTTCCTTCCTTCCGTTCACTTGCAGAGTACATCAGGAGGGAGGGTGGTCCTCCATGGGAAAACTCCATTCTGATTCTCTGTCTTGCAGTTTGAAGCATAAGTGCACGAGAGGGGTTGGATTCGACTGTTTAAACCGGTTTAAACCACTATGTTGAAATAGCCATGCCCTACTCTGAGACTACTCATGTGAGTGTGTCTCCAAATAGGGCCCCTTTATACTGGTTTTGAGGGGAAGCTAAAGGAAAACCAAACACCATTTTAGGGGTCTAACTTTGAGAAACCCCAATGTCGTAAACCCGGAATGGGTATGCCTTACAACAGTAAACTCCAAAAATTGCAGGTTGTCCCTTTTGTTCAAAACCATCCCAACACCAACCCACGCTTGTTCTGTTTTTTCTCTCCTCAAAACACACTCTTCCATTTTCGGAGGTTAACCAAATTAGCTCAAAAGGAACCCAACGAAAAGCGAAAGGTAGAGACCTCGGTGACAAAAAAAATGTCTCGCCGCGCCGCGGCTTGTACTTGTTCTGCAGCTTCTGGTGTAGCGCCTGCGGTGTGCGTGCCAAAGGGCACGCGTTTACAGCGCAATGAGCTTAACAACAAAAAATGGGTTTGTGTCATCTTGTTGAGGCGACAAGATACCCATGTTGGGATGGTTTTGAAAGGGAAACAAAAGGGAACACCTGCAATTTTCGGAGTTTACTATTTGAAGGCACACCCATTCCGGGTTTACGAAACCGGGGCAAACACAGCAGAAAAGGAAAGAAATCGAGGCCCAAACGAGCTCAAGCAAGTTGCCAAGATGAAACATCACCCCACTGAATGGAGCCTAGATGCACAAAGCGGGTGGGGGCGACCCCCAGACCCTCCCGTCTGTGGTACAAAATAGCATATGGTATGGAGCCTTAAAACCGGTAGGTTGGTGGGGTTCCCTTAGTTAACCTTGCCCCAAACAGATAGCCTCTCCTGATGAACATGGAACCCAAATCACCATCCCTTGTCGAAGAATCTCCCATTGGGGGACATTGGGGGACCCCCTTCTTGAGTTCATTGCTGATTTGCGGGCGATCGAAAAAAACGTCGCCCGACTTTTTGCTCGACCAATGCAGCTGCCACAGATCCCCGCACTTGCTAGGATCCCGTAGATTGCCGCTGCCCAGGGAAGCTCATCCAATTGTTAAATCACTGAAAAGTGCCTGCGCTGGTCAAGAACTGGACCCCTCGCACTTCGTTGGCCGAGTGTCGATTCCATGTGTCATGAATCTCTGCAAACCTTTTAAAGTCCAAGAGCCTATATGACTTGTTCCCCGCTGCAAATGATGCAAAAAGTCCGTGCCTGAGGCAACTCCACGGATCTTTTCAGACTGGACTATCTTGCCCTGGACAGAGACACAAGTCGAATTCCTCACGGCCCAACCGACATCGCAGCCGGCCGCGAGTTAAAACTGACCTCGATGCTTACCCTAATTGGTAAGCGGCCGCGGAACAGAAAGCCCCCCAACAAAAAAAACGGATTGCTTCAGGGAACTGGCATCCGGCCGAAAGCACGCCCGAAGATCGAATATTCTCCACTCTCAGTGGCAAACAGTCTCTGGGGCTCTCTGAGCCACTCAGGACCCATCGGGGAATGTGTCACAAGAGGGCCCCTCCAATGTTCTCTGACAACTTCCCAGAACTGTGCAACGTCCCAAACTGATCGCAAGAAGGAGGGTCCAGACTCGGAAGCGAGTCTAGCTCCATTCAAAAACCCAGCCGAACAAACGCGTTGCTCAACCATCTCTTCTTTTTGCAGTCCAAGGAGAAGGATCCTGGCTTTTGCACATCCCCTATGGGCTGCGGCACTCATCTTTGGAAAACCACGGGCTGATCTCAGATTTCTCCGCAGCAGCCCAGCTTCACCCCCTGGCAAGCCGGTTGCCTTTGCCACCTTACATGGCTGTGAGTCAAAAATAGGTACCCCAAATGGAACCCTGGTAAGTGGAAACATGGACCAAAACCTGCGGTCCCCTGGTTTAATTCTAACCCATACCCACATGTCGAAACTCTCAACATGTGCGCCATCATCTCCTCAATAAGAATTCGTGCATTGGCCGGTTGAATTTATGATCACACGAGGCTGGTCAGACATACCGAAAAACCAACGAAAGAAAAACTCGCGCCGGCATTGTGCCTCGTGGCTTTTAGGGCACCGAGCCTCAAGAGACGCAACCAACTCCCGTCGCTTTGGGCGAGCCTCAAAAATCGTCATAGGCGACATGTCGCGAGCGAAAAAAACGTCCAACCGTGAAGCTTTCAGGTTCGGCCAACTGATTAAAAAAAAGAAAGGATATACATATGTGCGCTCATGTATGTGTATTTATAGAGAGAGATACCTATACATAGATAGACATCTATATATATATATATATGTATATATACATAACTAAAAGCTTTAAAAATTGCGGTTGCCTCAGACCCCGATTGTTCATAGAATCGTTCCATGGTTTTGCCCTAAATCCCATTCAGAATAGCTCGTAGACATCCCCTCCGCCGCTTGTTTGAACTGGCTGACAAAAACGGGCAGACTTGGAGGTGCAGTCTGCCCCCCCCCCCCCCACCCCCCCACCCCCCCCACCCCCCCACCCCCCTGGTCCACAGGACCCCCACTGAGGCCAGTGAGGCCGAGGCCAGGAATGGGCATAACCCCGCCCCCATTTTGCTTGAACTTTTGCTCTTTCAACGACCACTCATCCTTCGACTTCCCCGTTCAAGGTGTGGCGGCTGGTCCAGCTCCGAACATTTGAGCGACCAAAGCCCCTCAACGTTCGATTCTACCGGTAGAACACGATTGTGAAAGGCTTGCATAGCCTTTTGCAATAAACTCCATGAAACCAGGCAGTAGAACTGCCTACTAGCTTGGCCAACAGGAATCCATGTTGGGCGCTGCGCGATTGCGCACATTGTCGTCATGATCAATTGTTTAACACTACCCTACCCCATTCCAAACAGGCCCAGCCAAGAGTTGTGGTTCACGGTTGGCCAAAATGGGCATCAGCTGAAAAGGCGCTGAGTCCACCCCCTCCCCGCCGTTTGGCATCCTAAAAGAAGGAAGCGGCTGCAGTCTTGTTTGGAGTTGGTCCCCCTTTCAGATGGTTTTAAAGCAAAAACCCAAAGGAGAACCGAAGCCATGTTTGGACCTTAGCAAAGATACGCCCAATAGGCTCACTGTCCACACCCCCAGTCGCCCCGCAAAAAAATCCCCGGATCTCAAAACCCATGTCCGACCTGCGAAATGCCTCGTGGGAGGGAAACTCGAAGGATTCCAAAGCCATTTTCGGGGGCCCGAAGAGTTGAGACTTGGCCAGGCGACTTCGGGTTGGGGCAACCATCAGTCTGAGTTTTGAAAATGAGAAACCCACCCCTTCGTGGATGCTGCTAAAAGGGGCCCCACTTTCGGAAACACCCCCTTTCGGTCCCCGTTTTTTGGCTAACGCCCTTGTTCCCTCCAAAAGCGAACCCCTCAAAGGACCCGTCCTTTCGGGAAATACATGGCCCTGGCCAATGAAAGAAAGCCAGTCTAAACCGGTGGAACCCATCTATTTCTAAGCAAACGAACCGATCAAAAGGACACCTGCCGAAATCTGTACGGGTCCGTCGTCAAAGGCGAACCGGATGGTTTTAAGGGAAAACCAAGAGGAACCAACCGCTGTCTATGTTCTGCTTCCTTTCCCCCCTGTTGGCGTCTCACGTCTCGGCGCCCGTCGCAACAACCGCCTCCGGAGTGGGGCAGCAGGCGCCAGTGATGTTCAGGGCCATGCACTGGGGGAACATCGAGCACTCGGAGCCCGGAGCGATCTTCACCTTCCAAAGACCCGGGGCCCCAAAAAGGGAAGACCAAACAAAGCAAGCCAAAAACTGGAATCCCAAAAAGGGGGAAAACCAAAAGAACAAAAGAGAAAACACAAGAGGAAACCAACACGGCGGGCAACCAAAAACCAGAACAGGGGAAGCTACAAAAGGAAAACCGAGCCCAAAGCCCGCGAAAGAAGTCGAAAGGGAAATTCCGAACAATTTCGAAGGCCGAAGGTGTCTTGGTTGACCCCTCTCAGTTTTCCTTTTGATCTTTCCCACCCCTTCAACAGGTACCCTCAAACAAGGACATGCCCGGAGACCATTTCGGCCCATTTCGGGGGCGCCCACAGATCGGATCGGAGCCTCCAGCACCTCCTTGGGGAAGCCTGCGCAGCAGCCAAGGCTCACCTGCGGGCGGGCAAGCACGGGACAAGAGAAAACCGGAGACCGAGAAAGCCAAAAGCGGGGCAGGCGAAAGCCAGACAAACCAGAACCGTGAAGAAAAAGCGGGCAAACGAAAAGAGCAACACCAGACAGACAGACAGACAGGACAGGACAGGACAGGACAGGACAGGACAGGACAGGACGGGACAGGACAGGACGGGACGGGACGGGACAGGACAGACACAGGACAGACACAGGCAGGCAGGCAGGCAGGCAGGCAGACAGACAGACACACAGACGGAAAGACAGACAGACATACTCACAGGTGGGCGGGCAGGCAGGCAGGCACGCACACAAACAAACAGAATCCACAAAAACTGACGAACAACTAAACAAGCAAGCAAGCAAGCAAGCAAGCAAGCAAGCAAGCAAGCAAGCAAGCAAGCAAGCAAGCAAGCAAGCAAGCAAGCAAGCAAGCAAGCAAGCAAGCAAGCAAGCAAGCAAGCAAGCAAGCAAGCGAGCGAGCAAGGTAAGCAAGCAAGCAAGCAAGCAAGCAAACAAATAAATGAACAAACAAACCATGACAATGCATGTCAAAACCCAAAGATTCGGCACGAATCAGAGTTGACGGCCCACAAGAACAACCCACCAGCCAAGGATCATTAGATTGTGGTAGTTTGCCCAGGCTTAAAAATAAAACCGAATGTTCCCGCCTGCAAATCGCCAAAATGTTCCAAGAGATAGCAAGGTTCCTTTCCCAGGAATGACGGTCCCTCCCCCCAAAGTGAGGAGCCGTCCAAGTTCACACCATTGATTGGCATCCCCGTTAACTTCCTTTGGTAGACCAGAATGGTATTGATTCGTAGCAATAAGTAGCCATTTGGGAACAATGTACTCAACAAACTCACGGGCCTGCGATAGATAAGAGGAGTCATCCCGTTATGGATTGGACATCTGACAGCATACTCATTACCGTGAAGGACTGGGGATGGCCGTCCGCTGTCCACATCACGTCTAATGGATTTATAAAATAGGTACCCCACAGAGGTTGCCCTCGTAAATGGAAACATGGACCAATCACCTGCAGTCCATATTTGGCTGTGGGTCAAAAATTACCCCAAATGGCTTGCCCTGGTAAATGGAAAGAAGGACCAAATCCTGCGGTGCCCTGGCGGTTCTATTTTGACCCATACCAACATGTTCCTTTGCTTTGGCGCTTCCTGGCTTTTGGTCATTGTTTCTATCCAATCATTCTGGTGAGGCCTTCTGTTTGTGCGCTGTCTTTTTTTCTGTTTCATTTTGAGGACTCTCAATTCCAAGATTGGGCCCCTTGGACTTAGCAGTTAGACGCAGCTCTTCTCTGCCAAGAAAAAAACACCTTAGCTGCGAGCTGAATGGGTTTATGACATTGGCAGGGATCCCTACAATGGATCCACCTGAACATTGCAACTTGTAAATGGTGGTTTCCAACTTCATTTTGGTGTTGAAAAAGCAACATGCTTCAAATGGGTGGGCAAAATGCCCTGCATTAGGAAGTGAGGTACTTGCCCATGGTGATCAGCCACTCTCTGACTGTAGCCAGTCTCGCGGCACGTGAGTGGCACCCAAGCTTGCAACAGCCTTTGTACTGGGCAGAACCTACCCATTTTAGGGTGATTTGGGAGCTCATGTTACACTCGAGCCCTCGTTTTGCGTCCAAAAACAAGAAGTGAAAGTTCCCTTCTAAATGAGGCAGCCCCCGATTGATCGACCACGGGAGGTTCCATGTGTGGAGTAAAACCATGTTGGAGACCCCAGTCAACACCCGATTCATTCCTCTGGCTTTTGGGGGGGTTCCATGTTGGGAGTGAAATCCTTTTGGAGACGTCACAAACCACCCAGAAGAAAGACGAAACGGACCCTCGGGCCTTGTCGGTGTTGGGGCAGCAGTCCCCCTCCGTAATCCCCACCGACACGCAGGCCGGGTACGCGGAGCAGGCGGTGCCGTTCACACCCACAGTGGCCACCACCTAAGGGGGACGCGTCGGAGGTTCATCATTTTTTGCTTGGAAATGGCCGTGGCTCAACGAAGGTGCCCAAAAAATGGGTTAGCCTGACAAATGGGAACAGTTAGCCTGGCAAATGAGAACAAAGACTTAATCTCTGCCTAATCTAGCTCTTCATCTTTCAATAAAAATGGACGTGGCTCAAAAAAAACACTAAAATGGCATCTTGGCGCATGGGAACAAAGACTAAAAAGCCTGGGTTTGCCGTAGCCCTTCATTTTGGAGCCACCCAAATGTGGCACCAGGCCACCTGCAGCTCAAACTGGCCTAATTTTACCAAAGTCAGCCCCGTTCAGCGGTCGGTCAAGGGAAACGACCCATCATTTTCTGACAATGACAAGTCCCAGAAACAGTCCCAATATTGACCCCAGCAACAAGCTCAAGGTTTTGGCTGATGGGGTTGACGGCTCAAGATCTAAGCCATGTCAATTGAGCAACCCACAGGGTGCCAGGGAACCCCGGTGGAAGGATGCATCCAGCCTGCTCAAAAGGTTGGCGCAGCCCTCTGGCTTCTTATCAAGCCAAAACAAACAAACCGGCACGGTCCCTGATGGCACAAATCTCATGAGGCTTGCGGACACGTTTTGGGTTTAGTTCCAAGGGAAACCCCTTGAAAGTCACACTGGAAAGGAAGCAAAAGCTATTGCAGCATGAGTCGAAAGCCTGCTAGAAAATGATCTTGCCCAATTGTCACGTAACTGATGTGTTTTTTAGCAGAAACCAACACCCTCGAACAAACAACAGCCTTTCTGTTGCCTTTCCTTCAAAACAAACACCTACGATCATGCGTTCAACAAAGAGCCTCGTTGGGAAAATAGAAGCCAACACCCTCACCACAAAAAGGTGCAACATCCTTCACTTGGCTCTCAGGAAGTGTTGAGGGCTTTGGGAATACACCGGAAGGGTTTGGCTTTGTCGTGGCGTTCCAACTAGAGAGCCAGCAAGGTTTGCCGCTTCCCGAAGGGGGAGCATCGTTGCCCAAAAAAACGGTGGTCCCTTTGTGCAGGAAAACCACCGAAAAAGGGCAAACTCCAAAGACATTTCTGGTTGGGACCCAGCGTTTGTGGGAGCTTCCAACATGGAAGCTCCCAGCACCCGTGAAATAAAACTTGGTTCCAGCGGAGGCCTTCTGGGAGCTTCCATGTTAGTGGATTTGGACTTGAACCCGTGCTCGTAATGGGAAACCACCTGTGACCACACCAATCCAAACCACTAATTGGAAGGAAACTGATGGCTGGAAGGAGTTTTTGGGGTGGTTTTGGGTACCGTTTTCCAGTGGAAACAAAGACCCTCACCAAAAAGCGGCGCCGCGACGCCCGGCCTTCTGCACTGCCTCAGTGGCCGCACCCAGCGCCCCGTTGGCCGCGTCCACGGCCCCGTTGGCCGCGTCCGACACAGCGCCGGAAGCCTGCTGCTTCTTGCATCCTTTTGACTTCCCTTTAAAGCCACCTAACAAATGGTACCAACCAAACAAAAACCATTTTCGGTTGATGACATTCTAGGTTCTAGGTAGAAATGGAAGGTCCCCTTCCCAACAACCCAAGTGTCCTTTGCAGGAAAAAAAACATTTTTCCTTAGCTGCCGAAAACCGGCCACCCAGGTTTCCTTCCAATTTGTGGTTTGGATGTGGTTCGGGGTGGTTAAGAGTGGTTCCCATGTCTACCAGAACCACAGGCTTTTTCAAGTCGAAACCGAGCTCCAAACCTGGGTGTTCCTCCCATTTCCCTTGTTGAAACCTCCAAAAGCGGCAGCTTCACTTGGAAACCACGAGGAAGTGGTGCGACTTTGGGATCCAGAACCCGACAGGGAGAGTTCCGAGAGTCCCCGGATCGCTACCCTCCACTCGCCTGTTGCTAGGGTTGGGGCCACCCATTGGTTTAAACATGTTTAAACCGGTTATGATGATTCTTCCGGTGTAAAGGTGGGGTTTAAACCATATTTTGCCCCACCCCGCCTGTTGCACCCCAGAGCTCACGGAGTCCGCGGCCTGCTGGATGGAAGCGCCCCAGCTGCTTTTGGCATCCTCCGAGCCGAGTGGATCGGCCCTGGTTGGTGGGGCCGATCCCCTAGAAAAAGAACAAGGAGAGTCCACGGAGAGTACGCAGTCTCATAGGCTATGGCTCCAAAAAATATGTTGAGACACAATAGTTCCAGAAAAATTCGAGAATAGGCCCGGGGGGGGGGGGGGGGGGGGGGAATTTGATGGGGAGTCTCCACCAGCTGTAAGATGGTTCCGAGGGTAAAAGTGGCCTGGAACCCCATATGGCCGTTTTGTTTGGGTCATATTGCCTTTGACCGACAAACAAAAATGTGATACTGATTTTCATGGCTTTGTTTCAAGCCTTGTTAGCATGTTTGTCTTCGTTTTTCTCTGCAGATTTCGTGGAACCTCCTCGTTTCTGTTTGCGATCATGATTCCATCCACCCTCCTCAGAAAAACCAACAGCCTCCTGCAGATTCGGCCTCCAACCCCCAGAACCAAAGAATCAATGAAGAATCCATTGGAGCTTTGAAATGGATTGTGAAATGAGGAACTATATCAATAGTAGTTTACTCCTATGACTAAAAGTGATCTTGGAGTACCACACAATCTGATATCTGGCTTGTTTATAGCAATTCATCAAACACTCTTTATGCGGTCACGGAATCCATTCCCTTGCTGCTCAAAACGGCTATTTGTATTGTTCGGGCCCGGACAAAGTACAACTCTCAATGAACCGCAAAATGGGGGGGGGTCTTTTTGAGCGTCGCCTTTTTGGCCTGGTTTTAACGGGAAACCAAAAGGAAATCAAGCATTTTGGGGGGGCACCCCAGCATATGGCACCTATTTTGACCCACACCCCTATGAAGAATCAGAAAATCCGAAAATCCAATTTCGAAACATACCCTCCCACCAATTAACGTGGAAGTGCAAGAAGGCCCTTTCCAAGAGGAAAGCAGTCTTTCTACAGGAGTCTGTGCACTTCCCATTAAAACCATGATTGGGTTCATATATAACCACCATTTGCCTAAGGATTGTCATCCAAATTGGGTCCTTGCCATTCTTTTACTGGCGAGATGACCTTGTCAGGTTCCATGTTGGCTGGTGAGAGGTACCCGAAACCTTCCCGGGCGACGTCTCGCCTGAACCTGCGACGTCACCGCGTTCGCAGCGTTCGCGGCGGCGTCCGCAGCGGGCTGCACCAGGCCGGAAGTGGCATCTGCGACCTCAGGCACGAGGCAACATGTCAGGTGTGGGTCAAAATTAGACCACTCGGAGACCACAGGTTTTATTCCATTTACCAGGCTTCCATTTTGGGTACCTTTTTTTGACCCACAGCCATGTGTCCCTTTTTTGGGGGAAGCCCCTTTTTTGGTGGTTTTTAAGGGAAAGCCTTAAGGAAAACCATCTTCCTCTCGGCTTGTCTTTGTTTTTGTTGCCCCTTGTGTGTTTCTCTTTCTTTTTTTTGGTGGGGGAGGGGAGCTTCCGTGAAGAATGAAACACCCATATGGATGTGTGTGTGTGTGTTTGTTTGCTTTTTGTGGGCAGGGGGTACCATTCAGAAGAAAATCAAAAGGACATCGTTGCCTTTTTTGGGGTTCCAGTTTTAAAGAACGGAGAGTTGGCCAATCCCAATCCATATCCCTAGACGGACACCACAAAGGAGCCCGTTAAGAATTTCCAGGGTGCATTCCAGGCGTAATGGGCATGAATCTTTATGGGGGGGACCCTTTGGTGATCATTTACATGGGGATTTGTTGCAAAGCCCTTCTGAGGTGGTTGATTCATAGCCATATGGCCCATGAGGCTCTGGTGCTCATGTAGGGGCTAGTAATTTGGTTGATACTCTGGATGGACGAAATCCTGCACCTGCTGGGATGCGTGACACCCTAAACAGGGGCAGGTGTAAAAGGGTCCCTAACCATCGTATCCCTACAGAAGTCCTGGTAGCTCCTTGGCGTCCTCTTTGAAGGACAATTTGGATACCCCTAGCTCCTTGGCTCCCTTCCAACCACCAGCTAGGTAAGGATTTCAAGGGTAAAGGAACTGGATGTCCCAACTTGGAACAAAGAATCCTGCGGATGGATGAAACCCGGCAAAACTCAGGGAAAAACCACCGAAATCAACTGCGAAGTAGATCCATCCCCAGTCGGGCGGGATCTTAGAATTGAAGACCCATGTTTGCTTGAGGAAAACAATCGTAAAACAGCTGTGGGCTTTCTTAAATGGAACAAGGGCATGATCGTGATAGAATAATGTGTATCTACTTAGCCTCTTGCGTGTTTAGCGTCCAACCATTCTGAAACCAGCGATCCGAGTGTTTTAAGAAAACCAGCAAACAACCAGGGTAAAACAGCTGCTTTTCGGAGAAGATACTGTTTGCAGCAAAGAATGGGGTGGGCCAATGGGGTGCTGTTTTCAAAATTCAGAACTACCCCTCCCCCAGTTCCGTTTTGGCAGCACCCCAAAGGAAAGTCGGAGTCTGTACAAGGTTGAACGACCCACCCTAGCCGTGGGAAGCTTCACATGTCCATTTCAAGTTGTATGGGGTAAGGCTGGATTGGAAAGGTTGGGTTCTCAACTCGAGGAATCAACAACATGGAGGGCAGCCCAAGGTAGGTTGAGCCAGGCACCCCTTTTTCGCAGATCTCAGATCCCTTCAACAACCCCTCTCGCAAAAAGATAAGGACATGGTTGAACTGTCCGCAAGTGGCAAGAGCTGAATCTGCTTGAGCTCACCAATCCAGACGACCAAACTAAAGAGAACTGTTCTAGTGGGTGGTACTTCGTTGTTTCACAGGATTTATTCTAAGGCCTATACAGTATGAACCTTTATGACCCTGGTCTGATTGGCCAAAAATCATCTCGCCGCCAGGCTGGCCAAAGGCACGTCACTCGAGTCCGGCCACCCTCCATGCACCGTGGAGGCAGCATCTGCCACCTCACCAACTGCCAAACGTTTTGCAGGCCGACATGGGGGGCGTCATTTCTTGAGGGTACCCTATTTGAAGGGAGACAAAAGGAAAACCACCATTTTGGAGGGTGCCCTAAAAGACCTGGAACGTACTTTGTTGTTTCACAGGTTTCATTTTAAGGCCTGAATAATATGAACCTTTATGACCCTGACTGATTGGCCAAAAGTCATCGAACCGCCAGGCTGGCCAAAGGCACGTCACTCGAGTCCGGCCACCCTCCATGCACCGTGGAGGCAGCTTCTGCCACCTCACCAACTGCCAAACATTTTGCAGGCCGACATGGGGGGTGGCATTTCTTGAGGGTACCCTGTTTCTGGTGGAGTTAAAGAAAGACAAAAGAAAAACCCCCATTTTGGATGGTGCCCTAAAAACCCTGGAACCGATAGTTGGTGCCAAGTCCACCCTATCTTGCAAGATATTCGCGTAGTGCTGGTAGTAATTCTGGTTTTACGTCCCTAAAAACAAGCCAACGACAAGACTCCAAGAAAAGCAGATGCGGCCATGCCACTGGCTGCACCAGGCCGGAGGTAGCATCTGCCACCTCACCAAACGGAGCTGTGAAACACGTTCAGCAGGCCGACATGAACATGATGGAGCCCATGTGCTCGTTTTGTAGAAAAATACCCCTATCCCAATATGTTTGAAGGCTGCTACAGCTTAGCATTATTATTATTATTCTTGTTCTTCTTCTTCTTCTTCTTCTTCTTCTTCTTCTTCTTCTTCTTCTTCTTCTTCTTCTTCTTCTTCTTCTTCTTCTTCTCCTCCTTCTTCTTCTACTACTTCTACTTCTACTTCTACCTCAACGTCAACATTCCATTCAACTTCTACTTCTACTGCTTCTACTTCTACTTGAACGTCAACTTCAACTTCTGCTTCTGCTTTTCCTTCCACTTCTGCTTCTTCTACTACTATGACTGCGACCAGCTGCTACTTCTACTACTACTACTACTACTACCACCACTACTACTACTACCAGTAGAGCCGGCGAAGCCTGTGGACGGAAGTTTCTAAAGCGAGAAGAGTGCCTATAGGAACAGCTTGACTTGCTTTTGTTTGGTTGCGCTCTTTCTTTCTCTCGTTCTTTCTTTCTTTCTTTCTTTCTTTCTTTCTTTCTTTCTTTCTTTCTTTCGTTTCGTTTCGTTTCGTTTCGTTTCGTTTCGTTTCTTTTCTTTTATTTTCTTTTCTTTTCTTTTCTTTTCTTTTCTTTTCTTTCTTTCTTTCTTTCTTTCTCTCTCTCTCTCTCTCTCTCTGTCTGTCTGTCTTTCTTTCTTTCTTTCTTTCTTTCTTTCTTTCTTTCTTTCTTTCTTTCTTTCTTTCTTTCTTTCTTTCTTTCTTTCTTTCTTTCTTTCTTTCTTTCTTTCTTTCTTTCTTTCTTTCTTTCTTTCTTTCTTTTAGTTTCTATCTTCCTTTCTTTCTTTCTATATCTTTTTGTCTATCTTTCTGTCTTGCGCGGTTTCTTTATTTTTCTTCCTTTCTCTTTCTCTTTCTCTTTCTCTTTCTCTTTCTTTCTTTCTTTCTTTGTTTCTATCCTTCTTTCCTTCTGTCTTTCTATTTCTTTCTGTCTATCTTTCTGTCTTTCGCGGTTTCTTTCTTTTTCTTCCTTTCTCTTTCTCTCTCTTTCTTTCCTTCTTCCTTTCTTTCTTTCTTTCTTTCTTTCTTACTTTCTTTCTTTCTTTCTTTGTTTCTATCTTTCTTGCTTTCCTTTCTCTTTCTGTTTGTTTCTTTCTTTCTGTCTATCTGCACTTTCTCTTTCTCTTTCCCTTTGTCTCTCTATCTCTGTATTTCTTTCTTTCATTATTTATTTATTTCTTGATTTCTTTCTGTCTCTCTCTCTCTCTCTCTCTCTCTCTCTCTCTCTCTCTCTCTGTACTTGACCTTGCGAAAGTGCCGCGCCTGCCACGAAATCTCTACCTGACCTTGCGAAAGTGCCGCGCCTGCCACGAAATCTGTACTCGACCTTGTGAAAATGCTGCGCCTGCCACGAAATCTGTACTTGACCTTGCGAAAGTGCTGCGCCTGCCACGCGATTTACACCTTTGTCTCTGTCTTTCTCTCTCCTCCCATTTGATCTATTTATCCATCTATCGACCTATCACCTGACCTTACCTTGGGTCGCCAAAGTGCTGCGCCTGCCACGCAAAATGGACCTCCGAAAACGTCTGCGCGAGCATTACAGTGGACAACTTTCCGAGACCGTGGCGAACCAGTGGCGAACCCGTGGCGAACCCGTGGCGAACCCGTGGCGAACCCGTGGCGAACCCGTGGCGAGACCGCACGCAGAACAGAGGTACCCTTCGCGATTTTCCGTGCTGACTTCAGTTCTGAGGGCGTCGGGATTTGTGATTCGACTTTTTGTATTACGGAAGTTTTCTTACTAAACTTCCTTTGACTACTACTACACATTGGCATGTCCACAAATCCCAGCCAGCGCCAAGATCAAAACGAAAGCTAAGATCCGGCCATGCCACTGGCTGCACCAGGCCAGAGGCAGCGTCCCCAGCTGCAGTGATGGCATCCTGTGCAGCCTCGACGGCCTCTTAGCAGCGCGTTCTGGTCTGATAAACCAAGTGGAACCACCTGCCCCCATAGGTGTCCTTTTAGGGGAAATAAATGGAAACCAGCAAAGACACCTGTGCACCTGCCACTATGGATTTTGGGCCGGTACTCTGGGCAAAAGGAATCCTCAAGTATCTGGGCCGTTTTACCAAGAGTACACGAAGGTTCTCAAAGGGCACTCTGGGAAGAGGTCTGCGGAAGTGCATGTCTCCATGTTGTTGGTGGGACTTGAGTAAATTGTAGTTTGCTCTGTTGTTTGTTTGGGTATGTATTTGGCAAGGATTTCGAACTATATTCTAACTTGAAGGTAGAATGGTCAGTTGGATTCGAAGAAGCATGTCCGTATTGGGTCCTATCAAATTACATTCCAATTATCAATTTTGTTTAGAGCGGCCGTTGGTCAAGATGATGATTTAGCAAGAAATTGCTGCAAACATGGTGTCTTACAATGTGTTCTGATCGTGGACAAAAAATGGTTGGACCTGTGAACTATTTCCTTATCCAATTCTTCATATCGTTGCCAAAATGATGCCCAATGTCTAACTGAATTTAAATGGAACTTAATAATGAAAAAGTCTAATCAAATGTCTTAGCTAAAACTATTCTGTCAAAGGAAGTTATACACGTCCAATGGAGACGTCTTTACAAAACAGCTCACTCAAAAAGTGTTCAACACAAGCCAAGCAAGTGCAGACAAATACAGACTTTGCACGCACAAGCCAAGTCAAGCTATCCTAAAAACCGAACACCGCTCCGCTTTTCCTCGGGGTGTCGCTGTCTGGGTCATTCCCAGCCCATCCGCCTCCGCGCAGAACTTGGGCCCCGTGACCGTGGCCGAGAACTTGAAGGGCGCCGCCTTCACAGAGGACTCCTCGATCGGCGAGTCGGCGAGTCGGCGAGGCGCGCGGCGGGCGAAGTGGGTCTCTGCCCGCATCGGCCGCGTTCGTTTGAGTCACTTGCTCAAAACCCGGGTGAGCAAAATGGTCGTACTCCCAGAACCATGCTTCAAGGATTAAGAAGGAGATCCGCAACCATGTTGCTGCCTGGGACTGCCCCTTACTAACCTTCATCTACCAGGGATTTGATTGTGGCTCTGGTGGTTTGGTGCAGTCAGAGACGGTTCTAGAGGGTTCCGGTGGGTCCGGGCCGTCAACCCGATCCCACTCACGTTGTCAAAGCCTGCTAAGGACAGGAGCAATAGCGGACCACTGGGCGGACCTGTGGACACAGGGGTCAAGTGAAAGACTTCATGGTTGACTTTAAGGGAATCCCATCCAACAAAAAAGAAAAAGCGCGGAACCCACTGCACGAAAGTGGTACCACAATCCATACAGGTACAAATGATAAACGCACACAAATACAAGAAAGGTATCAAACAAAAAGATGCCCAAGAAGCGCAAAATCGTCCCTAGTGCCTCAAAACCACAAAATCTACCAACCAAAAAATGCCACCCTTCTCGCCTGTTGTCTGCTGCTCTTTTTCCTTGGCGCTCCTCCCTTTTCTTTCCGCCCCCCTCGTCTTTTCCCCAGTGCTCCTTTTTTTGTCGCCCCTCCGGGCCCCGCCCTCCAGCCCCTTCCCTTCCCTCCCGGCTCTCCTCGCCGGTGAGCAGGCAGCCCCCGTCCGGCCAGAAGGTGAAGTGGCTGCACTCCGGCACCACCTGGCACCGCGTCTGGCACGCCTCCGCGGAGAACTCCACGCTCCTCCCGAACCGAAGCCGCGCGCCGAGCCCCGCGGCGAGAGGAAAGGTCTGAGCCATTGGGGTCCTTTTAGGGGAGTAACCACAAGGCTTTTCTTTCCTACCAGGTAAACCGTGGTTTACCCTTTTTTTGGGTGGTGTCCTTTTACTCACCGGGTCCCTGGCATAGGTCCTTTTAGGTTGGAAATAGATGGGTTTCCCTTGATGAGTAAACCACCAGGTAAACCTATGGTTCTGAGTGGCTGGTTCGATCGGGGAATGGGAGAACCCCGACAAAGACCATGCCCTGCACCGATCGGCAGCATGGTCTACCCAAATTGTAAGGAAATGAAAGGCGGCCGCAACCAGGCTTACTGCGCTTGATTGTGGCTCACCTTTGGCTCACAACTTGGAATACCAAGGGAAACTTAAAGAAAAGCTACCCTGGCGAAGGGCCCCTGGGTTTAAAGGGAAACATGTTTGCCTTGTGGTGTGGATGTTTTGGTGGTTTTGGTGGTGAATTGGGTGAGAAACCATGGGCCCTGCTGTGCTTTTTGAGGCTCGGTACCCCTTCCACTTTTGAAACCAAGAGAATACCGCAGCCATGCTAGAGAGGTCCACATGGCTGTGGGTCAAAACCAATGGGATCCTATTTCGGGGTAGGTGAATTCACCACCCATTTTAGTTTATTTTGGTGGGGATTGGGATGTTCACTGGGGGCAACGAATTGGATTTTGACCCATGGCCACATCATTGCCCTTGATGTATTGAAACTCTGGTCAACTTACCCTTGGTTTGGATTTCTGGGGTTCGTGTATGCCACCAGGATCTGGCTTAGGAAACTCGCCACCCAGACCCAGGGGAAAGGAGAACTTCCGGGCAAAAATGGTGTGTCTTGTTTTGGAAACGCTTTGGTGTTAAAGGGAAACCACAAGGAAACTAGAGCACCTTTTTTTTTTTTTTTGTTTTTTTTTTTTTTTTTTCGGTTGGGGAGCAAAACGTTAGGAAGCTCGTCGTTGGGGTCGAGGTCCCCAAATTTTGACATCCCATTCTCCGCCGCCACGGGCTTCGGCGCCTCTCCGTACCGTCCATCTTGTGCGGGGAGGTGTAGAACATACCCTGCGCAAAGCAGCTGACCTGGCAGGGCCACGCGAAGTCGTAGGTGAACTTTTGGAGAGATAGATGGCCCTGGTGAATGGAGTAAAAGCAAACCAAACCAGTGCCATCAATTTTCTAACATAACTATATAACCCTAAAACGGACCACCTATGCCGAAATCTGCATGGGTCCGTCGTCAAAGGGAAACCCTTTTAATGGATGGTTTCAAGGGCAAACAAAAAGGAAGCCAACCGCCGTCCCATCTTTTGACAAACACCCATACCAACGTGGGGATGTCCAGCTCCGCTACTTTCCCCTAGCTTTCCCCAGTCGACCGAAAACTCGAAAGCTTCAAGACTTCTTCCGTGGAGAAGAAGCCGACGGTGAAGGGCTGGAGATTCTGGAATCCCATTCGGGGGGTATGGGTTCCTTACAATTCCTTACACTTCCTTATAATTCCTTAGGCTTCCCCATGATTCCTTAGGCCTTGGAGAAACCCCCCCCCTGTACAAAAAAGAGCTGGCCAAAAATAAAAACAAAAAATCAATCGCGCGCCGGCCGCCCAACATCCTCGCCCAACCTCCTCCCCCCAAACCCCCCCAAACCCCCCCAAACCCCAAACCCCAAACCCCCCCCAAACGCCTCGTCGAGGCCCTCCAGGCCCACAAAGCTCCCGGACTTGCTTCGAAGCCCCCTGGAGCCCTTGAAGCCCGCGGCGGCCACGCCCAGCACGCCTCAGCTCCGAAAACGACCCACTAAGCCCGAGGGAAAAAGCCGGCAGCTGGGCGGGGCGTCTCTGTTGTAGACCTCCCAAAATGTTGGGTTGGCCTTGTGGCTTCCCTTTAGAGCCACGAAAAGTAGGGAGCAGCCTCCAAAAAGACGCCCAGCTTCGAAAATGTGGCCTTCGGAGCTCCCAAAATAAGGCAAGTCGGCTTCCCGAAAGTGAAGCCACGAAACGGGAGAGGGCTTCCGGCTGGGAAGGCATCCATGATTCTCAGACTGGGAAGGCATCCCCACGAGCGACTTGCCACTGACCACCAACTTGTTGCAATGAAAAATCTGAAAGCCGAACAAACCGCCGAACCCTCGAAGCGTCAGGGGACCTTTCCGAACTGTTTCATGTGATGTGAAGTTCAGTTCCGAACTGATGTTCGCTTTGGCAACCCCCAGTTCAATCAGGTGATTGGAAAGCGCCGCGGCAGTCCCTTCACAATCACGATATGGCTGTGGGTCAAACATGGGTACCCAAAATGGAACCCTTGTAAGAGGAAACATGGACTAAAGGATGCGGCCCCCTCATAGTTTCATTTTGACCTACTGCCATATTCGCCTCCACAACCAAAGCGAAGGGGGGGCTTCGGCAAAGACTCTCCATCTACATGGCTCTCTCAGCTGCAAACAAACAGCTCGCCAACTGACAGGTGCAGAGCACCACGACTTGGCATGTGTACATACATATAGCTATATATACATTCATTATATATATATATATACATAGCTATATATACATTCATATTTATACATATACATATATATATATATATATGTATATGTATATATACATAGCTATATATACATTCATATGTATGTATATATATATATATATATTGGCCGCCCACATTGATATATATATATGCATTCCATAGGATTCTTCCTTTGGGAATCGGACCCATTCAGCTGGGCACAGGCGCAAAATGCTCGAGACGGCAAAGAAGGCTACTTGGGCTTAGGTCGAAGCACCGCGAACCCAGTGGTTGCAACCCCAGCTGCCATTTTTGGACAAATGCCACGGAGCAGGGGGTTGAATCTGCCATCAGTTGCTCTTATTTGCTTGTTCTACCATCCAGAGATTCCTTACCTCGGGAAAAAAAGAAAAAGAAAAAAAAAGAAGAAACAAAAACACTGCTTCTGTTGTTCATTGAACGAAAAAACTATGCTTCGGTTGAAGAGAAAATATGTTTCTCTCTTTCCTCGGCATAGGCGCCCACTCCACCCAAGATCACCGCCGCGGCTTTGGGGAAGCTCCAGCGTGCCACCGGCGCATCGGTCAGCAGCTCGACCTCGGAGTCGGAGTAGCGCGCCATGAGATCTGACGTCGTCGGGAGGTCGGAGGTCGGAGCGCCGGGCTTGAGGCTTGAGCCAAAGGAGGCCAGCGGGAGGAAGCCAAAGCCAGCGGGATCAAATGGGCTCTTGGCGAAACATCGATGGCCCTGGTAAGTGGAATGAACCCCATCTAAACCCGGGCCCTCCATTTTTAAAAGACCAGAAAGGACACCGTTGGGGCGGTTTTGCGGGCGGGAATGGGGTGTTGCAGCCTTCGGGAAACCTGTCGCCGGGAACCCCGAACCGGGAAAAATGAACAGAGAGTCGATGCTCCTCTCGAAACCTGAGGTGAACCCAAAGACCCCGCTGTGGTTGAAATCAAGAAGCTCACAGGCATTTTGGCTTGGGGGCTTGGAGTCTGCCAAGGGCATCCTTGCCCCGAGAAACCACTCATGGCCTCCCCGTTCTTCACCGGCACTACCTCGTCCTCCGTGCCGTGCATAATGGCCACCTGGCTCAAAAGAGAACCGGGATATGAGTCCATGTGCCCATCCACTCACATGGCTCAAATTCATGGAACCCAAAAAATGGGTCACCTTGGGAAATGGAACCAAAGACTAAAACCTGAAAGGAACCCCTTCCTTCAGCTTGAGCCACACCCTTGGGCTTCCCCGAGCTTTGACCCGCGCGCTTCACCGGCGCTGACCCCTCCGAACCTTTCGACTTCGGACGGACCCCGAGACGCCTCGAGCCTCTTTAAAAAAAAATCGGGGGGAAAAAAAGGAAAAAAAACTCGTTGCCAGACGCATCGGTTCACGAAGATTCCCACCCCCAACCCAACTTCCCCGAATCCGCATGGTAACACATGGCAGCTCAAAATTAAAGAGCTGGGGCAAACCGCAGGTCTTGGCCCAATCCACTTACCAGGGTTCCACTTTGGTGCCGGCTTCTTGAGCCATGCCCAAGACTCGCCGGAGTCCAGTCAAACACGTGGTCGAGGTGACAAAATTGGAACCCCGTGGACTTACGCAACTGGTCCCAAAGACGAAAGACACACACCTACATTTTGTTCATCCCTGAGCAAAGCCAAGGTGCCCACCTTCTTGCTCCGAGCGGCGATATTTTTGGTGGTCGATCATGTTTGATGGTTGACAGCGGTGTGTCATGGGTAGTCATGTTTATATACGACTGACTAGGTAATGGTGTGGAGAAGCGCAACGTTACTCGGACAATATGAGACCTAGCCGGACAATTTGACAAGTCCGGTACTAGTTGAACATATGGCCATGAAGTTTAACAAATAACCTCCTCAAAAGTGATTGGTGGCCATGAATCCCCACCGCAATTATGTCCACCAAAGGGTCCCTTATTAAAAACAAGCATACCCATATTTGTTCGTAGTTGTTAAGAATGGCTTACAATGGTCAGTGCGTATCTCACGCTTGTCTCAGGTGTTAAAAGGAGATGATATCGTCTCCCGGGCCCCGGCCGGAGCTCTGATGTTGCTGATCTTCTCGTAGTTTCGGAAGATGTCCAAGTAGTAGCCTCAGTCACGACACCAAGTCCTGAAGGGGATTCCTTCAACCAAACACCAATCCCCAAACTTGGTAAGCCAACCAAAATCAAACCAAACATCAACCAAACATCAACCAACCTTACCAAGCTTGGTGAACATTCCCTAGTCGAATCCGGCCCAGGTTTCAAGCCGCAACCGTGTAAACCTACAGAAAAAAAAAAAAAAGAAAAAAAAAAAAAGAAAAAAAACATGTGATTCTTTGCCAAGGATATGTCTCTTATGAAGGTGAACCACACATATCACTCCCTCATTGCCAACTTGTGCAGGTCAAAACACTCCGACTCCGGAATAACATGCAGCACGAAAGCGGAGAAGTACAAATCTGAGTTGTTCAAAATGGAGGGGTTGGCCAATCCCAACCTTCATCCCTCCGTATAGGGAAACCACTGCAAACCCAGTGCCCATAAAATCGCCCGCCATTTCAAAAGTGCCAAATCCATGTGGTATTCTCCTTGGCTTGCAAGGGCAATCCGGCAACAGCTTCAAGCTACTTGCACAGACAAAAGGGTTCATTCAAATTGGGCGCACAATCGATTTGGGGATTCTCGTTGTTGGGCGAGAATGCTGTATTCGTAGCTGGCCTTTCTTTTGGCTGCCGCTTGATGTACACCCATCCTCGGTTCCCGCGAATAAACCTTCCGCTTAGGCAGCAGCCAATGATTGACACCGTGTTGCCCAGAACCTCGGCGTTCGTCGTTTCAAGTTTCGGCTCTTCTATGTCGCATCTGACCTTTTGGGTGACTTAAGCATCACCTTTATGGACCAAATGGTTGAGCTTCCTTTGAAATGATTTGCAAAGGGATACAAGTGGAACTGTCTTCAATTGCACCCACTGCAGGCTGGACGGGTTGAAAGGAGTTCGAACTCTTCGACCGATCACTCAAGTGGACCAACCAAATAAGCACCCTTGGTTTGGACACATTACTCAATGGATTTCAGGAAGGTTATCAGCCTTGGAAATCTCTCCTCCCTTCCTCTCTGTTCCATTATTCTCTGTTGCTTGGACGCCATTGCCCCCAGTGCAAAGGGAGCTATGGCCCCCCTTTGCAAAAAAAAACAAAAGTCCAATGATTTGTTGATTGGGAAAAAACACGAATCACCGTCCCTGCCATTTTTTTCAAGGCGAATGATCCATCCAACTAGCTCCCGCTCAGGTGCTGGCCGCTCGCGCGCCGCCTCAGAGAGGAGATCAGGAGCTGAGAGGGGATGAGTGTTCCAGGGACCCCTCAACTTGCTATGTGATGATTCTGAAATAGCTACATCCCTCTTTCCAAAAATAAAATGAAAAATCCACAAAACACCCCGCCAAGAGCGAGGAAAGAGCCGCACACGAAGGGCCGACTGAAACAGGCACTGCAGTCCACTAGCCTTTTTTCAGGCCGCAATGCTAGTGTGTAACAACTCGCCTGCCGAATGAAATAGCCCCGAAAATGGAAGCCTAAACTGTCAAACTCAGTTGTTCAGTGACCCACACTGTTTAGTGGGGCAGCCACCAAAAAGAAGGAAAAAGAATTGGTGCCACTGAACAACTGAGCAAAGCTCCAACAGCTCCCTCCGACCCTGGAAAAAAGGGGAAATCTTGGGGCTTGGACCATGTTTAGTCGGGCAGCCACCAAAACGAAGGGGAGAAAGAGTTGGTGCCACTGAACCTCCGAGCGTGAAGCTTGGCGCCCGGCTTTCCAGGGGCGACTGCAAGATCACCCCTGCCGCGTCCAGCGGCGAATGCGCAGAGCCCTGCGCGGTGGCTCGTCCTTTTCGTGAGAGGGCCCCCACCATTTTGGGGATTCCCCCGAAAGAAAGACGATCTGAATTTGTCCGTTTTTGAGGGTCATCTGTAAGGGGTGGTGAAAAAAAGGCGACCAAGAGGAAAACCAAGCTTCCCTAGTTTTCAGACGCCATTCTGGCTAGTGAGGGAAACACACAGAAAAACGTGAACACCTTGGAAACGCGGCGGTTTCCCATAGTTTCGCTGGTTCGCAGCTGTCTCCAAACTCCAGTACACTCGGCGGCGAAAGTCAGTCCACGACATCTTACACAGCAAACCCGCATGAGACGCAAGCGCATTCACGAAGTCAGAGCGCGATGTGTAAATCCCACTGTGACGCCGTATGTCAAGATGTCCGTTTTGAAGCACTAATTTGCACGTACGATGTGTAAATCCCACTGTGTTAATCCCACCGTGTACCCAACCTCACCATGTCCTCTCTTCACAAACCAAAAAAAACAAAGCGCGCCACTTCCCCCCGTTTCCCGGCAAAGCTTTGCCACGGGTGGCCGGTCTTCGCGCGCCTCCACTGTGGCCCTGGACGCCAAGTCCACGCTGGGCCCGGAGCCTGAGACGAGCGACCCCCCGACGCGTTGGACCCTCGTGCGGCTTGGGCCGTCCGTTGGGTCGAGTCGTTTCCCTTTGGAAAATAAAATGAAAAACAACACGGCCAAGAAGAGTACCAACTCGAAATGGACCAGGTTGTACTTTCTTTTCCCCCCCAAAAAAAAGGCGCAACGACGGAACCTGAAAGAAGCCAAAAAAGGACACCAACTCAAGACTTGGCCCCCCCGCAAAGAGATGTCCTGTTCTCCTGCTTGGCCCAACTCAAGCAAGCGTGGGTTTCCTTTTGGTTTCCCTTCAAACCCAACCACCAACTCAAAGAAAGGCAACCCCAGTTTGACTGCTTCTGGGGAGTAATCAGAAACTGCTTGGTTGGTGGTTTCCCTACCACTTGACTTGGGCGTGACTTTCATAGTGAGATACAGGGGCCAGTGAAGTGAACTGCCATCCCTTCCCTAAGCTCCCTACAGTCCTGCAGCAAACCTGGGTCACATCTCTGGCCTCCACTTTCAGGCTAGCTAGAACTTGACAGGAGGCTAAGCATAAAATGGGTATGTCTCAAATGGAGAATTCTGGCTTGAATGTTTGAAGAGATGGCAAAACGAAAACCGTCCCAAAAAAAAGGAAACTCCGAAAAAGACTCACCGGGCTAGCAAGGACTAACTGATCACAACACAAGCAGCTCAAACGGGTCGCACCCGTTTGGGGTCGATACAAAACGAGGAAAACTGTTTTTTGATACAGCCACCAACTTGGGCGATGCTGGCATTCGCTCACAAATTCGCGGCCCGGGCGGATGCGAGCCACAGTCCATATTCATTGTTCCCTCCATTGACCCTGGTTTTTTGGGGTGAATGAATCGCCGTATTATCGTGCCATTTTGGTGAGGTGTGGGCCGTCTCTTTTCTAACATATTGGTTTGGGATTGGTGGTTCCATTGAGCATCATGCCCGTTCCGAACTCCTGGTAGCTGCTTGGCTCCCTCTGAAAAAATAAACTTGGAGATCCCCGGCTCCTTGGCTCCCTTCCAACAACCAGCGGTTGTTAAATCCCCAACCCCGCACAAAACAAGTGGAAAGCTTGGAATTCCTGCAACGCGGCTGCAGCTCTTTGTGTCCCACTCAATTTATCAACCTCCGTTCAGAAAACAGTACCCTGGCTCGAAGAACAAAAATGAACGACAACTCTTCACATCTCATGGGCAGGTAGGACAGAGCCGTTGATCCATGTTTGTGAGCATTTGCGCTGGTGTTTAACAACAATGACTTTCTGTGTCCCGAGTGGCATCCTATGGTGGCCCCTCCTTGGATGATATTCAAAGAGAAGCCAAAGTGACATGTCTTCCTTTTTTTTCCGCGGGGTGAAGGAAGCACACACACACACACACACACATCATGCGGGTGCTTCACAACATGCGCTCGAGACGGATTGTTTCAGGGAACTTCTTTGATCAACCTGCATGTGCCATGGTCAAAACTCTCGGGGTGGTTTGTGAACAAAGGATTTCATCCAAAAAGCAAAAACAATTGATCCAGGCATTTCCTCCACAACCTCCAGAAATATGACAGCTGCCCCTTTACAGAGATATGACCCTCCAACCAATGGGTGAATAAACCCTTTTCATTTTACAAACATTTGGAACAATTGGGTAAAGCTGCAGTTTCCTGCCGGCTTCCCTTAAAGGACGAAACAAAAGGGGGGATTGAAAAATTGGAAACGCCCACCTGTGTTTTTTTTCCAAATCTCAGATCCCGCCGGATTTTTGTTCGGGTCTCTGGGCCGATGGAGCGCCCAAAGATCACCTCGATGCGTGTCGAGCGCGGCGTTGCTTCTTCCCCCCGCATGGGTGTGATGTAAGGACTTGTCTAATGAGGCAAGAAAAGATTGCACCTTCTTTTTCAGGTTTGTTTCCGATCAGGAGTTTCAGAACTCCTGTGAATCACGGGATGCGTGTCCACCACTTCTGAGGTGGTTCCGTATCAAAGTTCGCATCCGTGTGTACGCTTGTGTGTGCGTGTGCGGGCGGCATATCAGCTTTCCCTCATAGAGTGGAAAGTTGAGTTATTTCATGCAGGCAAGTAAATGGGATGACTAGACAAAAATATATGCATACTTCTTTACATTGATATACCCTTTCTGTAGTGGCTTTGTCTCTCTGATGCTTAGCGTCTTGGGACTAAACTTAGGGATTCCCATAAAGGAAACCAAACCTGGGATGGATTTTGGGGGTCATTCCATTTCTCATTGCCTGCTCAAAACCAACAAGTGGCCCCTTCCCATTGTCTCCCGCCGTCTTTCGCTCGAGGCAAAGGCTGGCCGGCCAGGAGCTCCACAAAACCCATGGCTTCCGAAGTCCGAAAGAAATAGCAAAGGTCTGACGCAAAGCCGAGCTCCAACCTTCCTGGTCACAAGGGACCTCCACTTCATTTGGTTTCGTCGGGTGAGCCCTTTCGACTTTCACAGCGTGAGATTTTTTTCCTCCGGTCCATCTTGCAAGGGAAGCAAATCAACGCCAGGCTTGCGCAGGCGGGGCATGGCCTCAAGTCAGCCTTAGATTAGCGTGGGGCCCGATGGTTTGGTGGTTGGTGTCCCTTTTACTACGAACACCAACTCCACCAATTGGAGGGAAGCAAATATTAGAGCTTCCACTGACATGCCGTGGTCGAGAAGGGTCCGCGTCCAACCCCCAATCCGAGAAATGTCTGTGCCCAGAAAACAAAATAGGTCCATCTTGTTCTAAGCTCGGTTCCCCTAAAAAGGCAGACCCAAATGCATGTGAAGGTAGACAAGGGTGCTTTTTGAAAATAGAAGTCCCCTAAAATGGTCGGTGTCCTTTGCTTTCCCTTCAAGTACCAACCAAAAGGCCACCATTTTGAGCCTGCTACCCTTGTGGATAGAACAAGTAGCAACTGGTCAGAAAACTAAGGTAACTATCCAAAAGGTAGCGACCACCAGCTTCCCTCTACTTGGGTTTGGATTGGTGATTTCTCGTTTACTCTCTAAAAAGCCAGGGTTCACATCCAATTCAAAGCACCAGGCTCCAAACCACCAAGGAAAGGGTACCTCAAACCGTCCACACTCATCAAAATCATAAAATATTCAAAGGTAGTTGGCCACAAGCCCGAGGATCTACTTCACTACTCCTGGGACCCTTGAAGTGAAACATCCGCAAACTTACTTGAGGAGCACTTGCAACGGCTGTGGGTCAAAACCAATAGGATCCCATTTTGGGGAAGGTGAATTCACCACCCATTTTAGTTGCCATGTTGGTACCACTTTTTTGAGCCACAGCCATTTTAGTGGTTGGATTGAATCAAATGTTCACTGGGGCTACGGAATTTTGGCCAAATGTTCAACGGACCAAGTCCTCGATGACCTCCCGGCAATGGGGTCCCGTGCAATGCGCTTGGGGAGGATCTTCTGGTCATCCACCAGGTACCGCCAAGCCTGTGCTCCAAAAAAGGCCAGGGGTACCTTCCATTTCCATTCTTTCCAGGCATCCTTCTTTCTAAAAAACCACCCCAAAACCCGGGGGAAACAGCTGATGTTTGAAAAGAACGATGGTTGAAAAGAATGGGGAATCCACCCCTAGAATGTTATTTGCAGCTTGCAGGTACTTAAAGGGACCTCCATTTGTTTTCGGCACCGGAGGTCCAGCGTGAATGACTTCGGGTACCACGAGTGTTCATGTTCTTGTCCCTTCTGGTTTCCTTGTACCTGAAAAGGGGTACCAACTCATATGGCTGTGGCTCAAAAACCGGTACCAAAATGGAACCCTGGTAAGTGGAAACATGGACCAAAACCCGCGTAACACCTCCTGTTTAATTTTGAGCCACACCCATATTGCACAAACCCAGGCTGTGAAAGTGGAAACCCAAAGGGGTGGAGCAAAGCTTTGAGTGTGATGCGTCGAGACCCTGGAAGCCCCTGAACAGGGTTCCTGATCTTCAAAGATCACCCAAAAAGTGGACTTATTTCAATGGCCCCAAGGATGATCAAAAAAAGTGAACTGATTTCAATGGCCCAAAAGATTATCTTAAAATTGGGGAACGGAAGGATTTCTGTTTCGGCAAAAGCGTATCTTTCGGGGTAAGGGGCAAGTTTTGGACGTGGGAGAGCACTCCCAAAACCAAACATGCTCCTAGCACCTAGGAAACAAGTACGGCTTTCCCTTGAGGCCAAGCCCTCTCTGTTGCAAGGAGTGTTCCAGTGCAGTTTGAGGTAACCTGCCTCAATGCCGAGCTTCTTTTGGGGGGTCACACACACACACACATGATTGCCCCTTCCTTTTAAAGCAGATGTCCCTGTTCTTGGCCCGCATCCATCCAAAAACATATTTTCCGGCTCTGTTCCAGATTTAGTCTACCTAAGATATGGGTCTGTTTTTTGTTGAGGATACCCGTTTTGGTGCTTAAAGGGAATCCGCAAGCAAAATCGATGCCAAACCTGGGCTGGTCCAACCTCAAAGACGTATGTGGGAGTTGATCAATCTTCTTGGGGCAACTTCTCCCATTTCGTGGAAAAGATCAATGGTCATGCCATGTATCACGCACCTTCTGATGCCCCCTCCCATGTCTCAAAAAAGAAAACGACCCCCCCCCCCTTCCCCCGCGCCCCTATCACCCAAAGCTCCTCAAGAACTATCCGGCAGAGGCCCGCGCCGCGTCGATGCTGCGCAGACAGGCCGCCTGGCCAGGCGCGCGAGAGGGGACCTTGGTTTTTGCATGTTTGTTTCGTAGGGAAGCCGAAAGGGAAACTACGTCTTTGGATGGCCCCAATTTTGAGAAACTCCCACATGGAACCCCGAGAATTCCCAAAGCTCTGTGGGCATGTCCTTTATCCAGGGTGTTTGAGGTGGTTTTTAGACCCAAAGGAAAGCACCCTTTGAGACACATCTACGTTGTTTGTTATAAGGGGCCGCACCACGAGGAAATTCAAACCAATGCAGATTTGAGGGTTCTGTGGACGCACCACGAACCAAGGAAGCCTGCAGAAGGCCGCTGAAACGGGAGGAAGTGGTCGCGTCCAGACAGAGGTTGCATTCAGCGTTGGGGGCGTCCACGTGTCTTCTGGCATTTCCTGCAATGTTTAGGGACTTCCCTAAGCACGGCAACTGTAGTCAGCAAGGGCCGACTTGACGTTGCATGTCCACTGCTCATCTGTTGAAGCTTGTTCAAGTCACCAGTACTTCAACCCCATCCTTTTTCAATGTGCTTGAATGCCAGTGTCGCAGGTTCATTCACCCCAACCCAAGACACGTTCAAACAGCTGATTGCCCCCCTTTGCTTTTGAACCAACCTGAACAAAGCAACCTCCTTCCAGGAAAACACCGGATACCCCAGCTCCGAGTCAGGGTCCCCGAGCTCGCCTCACGCTGCCGAACTTCACTTCCGATCCGCGCCTCTGAGGCCGTATCCCCCTCCAGGCGCGACAACGAGTAGCCCACATACTCGTAGCTCAGCACATCGCAGCCTGCGAATCGGCGCAGCCGCAAGGATGTGGATCTCACGGAGATAGGTTACCCAAATGGCACATCGCAAGAACATCACTCGCAAGGGTTCCTCCAAAGCTGGGTGAATGTCATGTTCGGAACATAGTCCTCATTCCTCGGCCAGAGGCGTCGAGTGGGTCATTGAAAACTTGATAAAAGGGTGTCCCTGCAAACTTCAACCCCCTCCGAGTCAGGGAGATCCCTTCACCATCGAAGGCGTCGAAGGCAACAACAGAACTGGACAAACCGACCCTCCTGCTGGCCGGTCTCACAACTGGACACTGCCAGGGCACCGACACAGACACTGGCAGAGGAAGGCAAAGGCAAAGGCGCAGGCACAAACGGATTGACTGAAGTCACACACACACACACACTCATAGCTTTGTATTCTGAAACCATTTTGCGAGCCTCAGCTTGACTAAGTGCAGTCGATAGGATCCTCTCTCTGCTTTGCCCACCAAAGGATGGAAATTTGGCGAAGAACACCGCTGGCAGCCTTTGCCTCTTCACCCCAACTTCCGTGGATCCCCTACATCAAACTGGCATATGCGATATGGCAAGAATCCCTCTAACCTCCAGTCTTTTTGGTTCTGAGCCCTTTCGGGGCTTCATCGCTTTTGGAGGGAACACCCTCCTGTTAACAGGGATCCTTTCATCATACACCTGAACATTGCCTGGTAAATGGTGGTTTCCCATTTCATTTTGGTGTTGAAAAAAGCAACATGCTTCAAATGGGTAGGCAAAATGGAGATCTTTTAAGGAGCCCTGCCCAAAAAAGGGTAAAAGGGCACTGCTGGGGACCTAGTTGGTTTTCCCTTTCACGTCCCCCCCCCCTGCCCCGGACATTAATCGGACGGGTTCCAGGATCCGGGGTCACCTCGGCGTTGTGTGTGTTTTGTTGCTTTGTTATTTGTTGTTTTCTTCGTGCGCCGCCTGTGAAGTGCGCCAAGGCGTCGATGTAGTCCAAATGAAGGCCCAGGTCCTCAACGACCAACTCTCTTCCACGCCGGGAAATATATAAATATATGTGTATATGTATACTCTATGTATATATGTGTATATGTATATATGTATATATGTATGAGTAGATATATATATATATGTATATATATATGTATATATTTGCCTCTAATAATACTGTAGCAATAATTATAATGAACGGAGGTGAAGGCCCGCTTCTAGGAGGGAAAGGCCCGCCGCTAGAAAAGAGTCTAAGCCTTGCCCCCCAGAAAAAAAAATGTCAGGCTTCTAGGGGGCTCCTACCAGCAACTTCCGAAAATCCAAAACAGAAACAGCATGGCCAGGACTGCAACGCTGAAGAGCGAATTCGTTCAGGTTCCAAACCAGAAGGATCAATCACTGCTCGGGTCTTATGGGAGAAAGAAGCTCCCCAAGCTCATTTAGGTTTCTGTAGCTGCTGCTGGCAATTCTTACCGAAGCTTCTGTTTAGCAGTGTTACCCTTATGTACTGGCGACTTACATGTAGCTCATAATGCAGGACAACCAATTCCAGAAAGGGATGCTGTTCTACAAGTACAATTTCTGTCTCTAAGATTCCAATGTCCAGTGGCACTCTTGCTGTCTGGCTCTCTGAGCACCCCCAGCCCCGCACGAGCGCCTCTGCATTACCGTGGCTGTACAGAATCGTAAGGTTGGGCGAGGACAAGAAGGAGCTGGAGCCTAAGCCACGTCCAAGGCGAAGTCCACACAACATCCGTTTCGCACTTGGGATGGATGCAACCCGATTTGAAGACTGGCTAATGAACCACCAAGGTGCGAAGCGAATTTCGTGCACACTGTGTCAAGACCAACTTATCAGCTTCACCCTCCAAAAGGAACTAGGATTCAAATCCAACAACAAAATTAGGGGGAGCTGAACTTAGGGGCCCACCCCATTAGTTTGCTCCAACCCTTCCTGGTTGCCGGAATCCGCCCATTATTTTGGAAGAAGCGTGGCTCGCTCTTTTTCTCGAAAACCAAAATGGTTTTCTTTTTGGTTTCCCTCAAAAAGGGGTACCCTCGAAAAAGACGCACCCATATGTTTTCCTTGGTTGAATCCTTTGTAGACATCAGAAACTCATGATTGCCACATCCCACGCCTCGAGCTCCCCATTCCCTTCCACATGAGTCATAAGCACAACTGGGACTGGCGGTTTTCCTTCGCCACAAAAAGAGGCCATTCAGCCTTTGGGTTTCCGTTTGGGTTGTCTCCCAAAAACGGGGTTCCCCGCCTTTTTCAGGAATGCGAACAAACACGATTCTGCGCTCAGCTTCTTGGCAAGAGGCGCTGCGCGCGCACGTAGCAGCAGGGGATCTTCTCGTCTTGTTGGGTCTTCAGCCACACCAAATCCCGCCTGGCGATTTTGACGAGGCCAGCTGGCAAGCAACTGGCGTGAAAGGGATGGGGCCATGACTGGTTAGTCTTGCTGCTGAAGGAAGTATGGCCATGGGTCAAAATCCCGTACCCCCAGCGAACATCCCAATCCCCACTAAAATAGACTAAAATGGGTGGTGCACCTACCCCAAAATAATACCATTGGTTTTGACCCACAGCCATATGGGAATGGCCTTCCAAACTCAGGAATCCTAAGGCAAAAAATGGGGCAGGGATATTCCATCATATTTTCCTTGTCGCGCAGCAACAGGACCAGCAACCATATTCTCCAATTGCGCCATGGACAAGGAAAGACACTCCGCAACTCCATCACCCAGGAACCCTCAGCCTTCGAGCCTCCAGGAAATGTGATCCGAATGGGCTGGCAAAACCAGCAAGCAAAACCCAGGCCGGAACACGTGACTCTCACGAGAGAACGGGCAAACTTTCGATCTTTGGCGCACTTTGGATTTCAGCCAGAAAAAAAACACTCGCGCCATCAAATCGACAGAAAGGTGTGCCACGTGCATGGACATATTCGACAGCTTCACTTTGCTATGATGGCTTGGTATTCCATTGTCATCCATGTGCGGTAACAAAAACTGCACAACGACTCCTTCAGCACAACAAGGCCAGTCCACTAACATCACAGACTCGTCATCCAAGAAACGCAACTGACGCATCGAAACAGAAAAGTCGCTCGAAACACGCATGGGCGCAACCTTTCTTCCGTAAAAATAGTAAAGAAATGTCTGGTGCCCTGTTCAAGGGGAGGGTAACTTGAAGTCAAAGAGGTGTTTCTGTAGCCGTCTTTGTTCATATCTCACGAAAGCGGCAACAGGCAGGAGACACCGGCGCAAGAGCTCGTCCTCACAGCTTAAGACACCCATCGAGTCAAACCCGCGAAACTTGGGTTGAAACCTGAGGATGCCATTCTCAAGCCAAGGGCACCAAGGAAACCCAAAGAACAGCCCAGGAAACCGAATTCAGACAAGGAAACAGGAAACTTGGGACACCAAGTTTAAACTAAAAAACCAAAAACAGGGGAGAAGAAAAAAAACTATAAACCCTTATTGCGCAAGCCTCCAAGGCATAGGCTTCAAGGTTTCGTATCCCCCAAAAAAAAAGCGGCCTAGAACATTCAAGGGGCAACTTGTGAGGGTTGCAAGTCAAAGCTCGCGCATCTTATTCTTGCACCTCGCTACTTCTCTACGCTCACCATTCCGAGTCCCATTTGCTCCTGTCCAGCTCCCTTAACTGTCCCAAAGATATATGTATATGGAAGCCTACAATCGTTGTCTAAATTCTCGAAGTCAAGAAAGCCGCATGAACACAGAGTAAGCAGAAGACCATGGAAGAAATGGGCGTATACCTGCAAGTGCACATGCGTCTGGACCTTCCTGTTCAACACGTGGTTCACGGCCGAACTCTTTCAAAGCAGGTAGCTTGCAAACCATGTGGTGCTTTATCTGACCTCAAAGCCCATGTTCATCTCCCAATTTCCGCGCGGCTCAAAAAGCAAGACACAGCGGGCAAACTCCGCAGGTCTTGGTCTTGCTTCCTTTTGCTTGCCTCACTTCTGGTGCCCCTTCTGCAAGCAAGCCGCCACTTCTGGCTTGCTTTTCACTTACCACCGCTTGCCCATCCGCCGCCGCCGTCGTTTTTTTGGATTTTCCCCAACTCGAAACCTCGGAGGCTCGGAGGCGAGTCCTGGTAGAAGCGCTTGTCCAAGACCGGCGCTGGGAAGGCCACCGTGTTGATGGCACCTCGAGCGAGGAGCGGAGGAGCGAGCAATTCCGCCCGGGTCGAGGATCGGGCACTTCCGGACGGACCTATGCTTGTTGCAAATGGATCTAAAAAATCCCAAGCCACAACAATCACAACAACTCTGTGCTTTTGGTTTTCCTGAGCGGAAAGGTGGTCCAACTCAAAAGAAGACACGCGACTTCCCTCCAAGTTGCCTAAACCGAGCGAATGCAGCTAAACTGAGCCTCTAGCTTCCCATCGAAGCTAACAGCTATGGCACCTCTCTCTGGTAATTGCCTGGTGTGACCATTTGTTGAAGCTGTGACCCACAATATAGTGTGATGCACTCTTTCTTTGCGCGCCGCACTTGAACAAACGCATCGCAAATGATTCATTCATGCGTTCCGCTTCAATAAAGGGTACCCTGTGCTGCACCCTGACCGTAGTTGCATGCGTCTAGTATTTGCACAGGTGGCTGCCCAACGGTGTGGGGTGAAGTGTCCGATGGACAAAGGCCTCCGGTTTCAATTTGTTACATAGGGTGTGCCAAGACAAGGGAGCCCCCAACAATGGGTGGCGCCATTGTGATTTTCGTTGACCAACCTGAAAAACGGTCCCCACAGAAAGTCACACACCCATATGTTGCCAAAGGCATGGCAAGCGCAGCGCCATTCTTCTCATCACACCGCAAACCACATCAACAACGCAATGCAAAACCATTGCCATCAAAACCCCCGGCATGTTCATATGCGTCCTCCACTACAGTGCATGAATGTATACAAAACAAGGTGCGTTGAATGCGGACAGACCGAGAGAACGCAGGACTGGCAACTGCGCAGGACAACCCAAAAGGCCTCAGAAAAAGCTAGCCACGTATCCAAAGAACTGCACCTGCTCCGACAGGGACCCCACACGTTAAAGGCCTGGTGCACTGCTCCTAGCCTAAACTCCCGTGAGACCTTCATGCGTCGCAGCTCTATCCGCACATTTTTCCCGGGTTGCATCATTGGAGGTTGCACATCCTCAAGGCACATGCAGTGCACCTGTTTTCTTTGATCCGTACGGCCGAGCGCGGTCCGCTGTTTCAGCACCGAGAAACAAACCACAATAAGATGAGTGAGGAAACCCAAACCAAAAAAAGAAAACACAACAAAAACAACAGCAAAACATTATCAACAAAGCAAAACAAAGGACGGGTTCCTCAACAAATCACCTCAAAAGTTGGACACGTCTGGGAGACATATGCCTCAACCAGGCCGAGAAAGCACGAAATTGAAAAAGAACGAATACCAAGTTTGACTGCAGCAAGCTGGCAGTTCACTGTGAAAAACATGGCAATGATCGACAATCCTGGCGCCGACAAGAAAAATTAATTCAGGTGAAGGTTCGAAGTGCCAAAAAGAACAACATACGCCGCGCTTGCCCGCGTGTACATGCAAACCACGAAAGTCGAAGAATCCAAAGCACGAGAACCAAACCACGAATCGTCAAAACCAGAATTACATTGGAAGCATTTGGAAGCTGTGTAGCCAAGGACCACCGCTATCAAAATGTAAAACGGGAGCGACCCCGCTCAGTACGCCAAAATTGCTGAAGATAAAAGGGATCCAGTACAAAGCCCATAGTCAAACTCATGCGTGCTCCATGCATAAGTCATAGACCAAAAACGTCTGCACGTAGCTGACCCAAATGAAAAGAACGCCAAGATCAACCAAACCCGTAGGCACTGCTATCGACATCCACCTTTTTCATAGGTCCGAGCAGCAACGTCCAATCACAGCACAGCCCCGGCAAAACGCAAGCCCAGAAAGGACCCACTTTTGCCATTAATTGTCCGGCTTTAGCATAGGCGCCGGTCGACAAATCCAACAACGTCAGAAAAGAAAAAGGCTGCCCAGCGGCAGCTAGGGCAAGTATCCGCAAAGGACCTGACAACATTGTCAGACAAGGCTCATTTAAATCAGAGCCGCCTCCCGCATTTCCGGCTTGAAATTTGCACTTCTGAGGTTGCAGAGAGCATTCCGAGCCAGCATTTTTAAAGACAAAAACAGTACACTCCTCAGCTCCCCTTGGAATTCCCAAACCTTTGAGCCTCGGGCATGAATATGCCTTGCACTGTTGGCGCGAGAACGGTTGTTGGGTTGAGTGCCAGGCCACAGGCGTGCACTAAGATCATACATCCACCCCAGCACTTGCTCCAAGAACTTGCACTTGATTCTCCTGACTTGAGCAGGGTGCGCTTGCTCCTTAAGTTTCAGGGTTTTCAACGGCGTGAGCTCAATGGTCTCAGGTTCGAAGTTTGTCGACCACCCGCACCAAGTGAGATCATTTTGGAACTGCACCTTTTTCATGAAATTGGTGCCGAAATCGGGGCGAAGAACGCGACTACGGCGCCAATTGCTCGTGGGGTTTGAGCGACGCAACGCTGCAAGAGGTCATCCATACGGTTCTCACCGTGTGACTGACTGAGTGCTTTCACCATCCAATCGCCCTGCCGTCAATCCTGCGCTGTCTCTCTTGAGAGGGAATTCTCCAAACGGGTTTTACTGCACCTGGGAGGGTTCTGACACTCGTCCGTCCAGGAAATAGTCCGTACATCTATGTACGCACTAGAAGAATAGTTTCCTTCGCCGTACGACTCAAAATGCGTGTATATAAAGAAGCATGGAGGTAGTCACCGCCGGAGCCCAGGATGAGCTGATGCAGAGCCTGGACTACAAGCTGAAGACGAGCTACGTGACGGCGCGGCACGACGTGCAGTACTTCCCCAGCTCGCTGAGCTTGTTCTCCCACGTCCTTCATCGACCCCGAGTTGATCAAGATCGCCTTCCGCGTCAGGAACACGGACGGCACCAACCCGCTGGCCCCGGCCACGCCCAACCCCGGCTGCGACGACATCAACTACTACGGCCACACCGTGGCCGCGCACGACCTGCTCAAGGGCCGAGAGTACAACCGCAACAAGGCCAGGGAGGGTTTCGACGAAGAAGTCAACGACCCCCGCATCGCCCGCGCGGTGCACCAGGGCGGTTACGCGGACGTGCTGCTGCGCCCCACCATGGTGGGCATCCTGCGCTGCGGCAAGATGCTGCCGCCGCAGCTGAACCTGGTCATCGAGATCGAGTTCGCCGACGCCGCGACTGCGCTATGGTCAGTGTCAAGAGACGGCAAGGTGACGTCCCGTGGGACGCTGTGCACCGAACCCTCCAGCTGTAATACCAACCACGTAGAAAGGTGTATACGGACGATGCCGTTATAGCCGAACCCGTGTAAACGTTGTAAGGGAGAAGGAATAATAGTTACAACAGTGGTCCTGACAAATGCAGCGCAAGCGAAGTGTTTTCCGCTCTCAATGCCGATCACGTGTGAATGCAGCTACACATCAGATCTTGAACCTCAATTGTGTCTTGAGCCAAATGGCGATCAATGGAACTTGGTAAGCAACACTAACACAGACCTCAGAACAGCTTCCCAATTTAGGCACGGGGCCTAGAGGGTTTTAACATCCCCCATTTGGGTCGCATTGTTCATCATGCGGTCCAAACACCACAAAACGTTCCACTGGCCACGGCTTCAGCTACGAAATCGTGTCGTGCATTCTTTTACTTGCTATCGCTACACCGTTCATTCATTGTGAAACATGCCGGGTTCGATTGTATGAAAAGTGAAACATTCATCCACCAATCGAAGCGCACTCCCATATGCAGGTGTATACAATACACTATTGTCACGTCATTTGACCACCAGTGAACATCCCAGCTGCCGCATTTGCGCATCGCGCAGCCGTCATCCATAGAAAATGGGTTGGCCATAAGAGTCCAACAGAGGCGCCTGCTCGTAAGCAATCTGCATATCTCCGGCAAAGAAATATCGGTGAGCAATCAATGCAAATCATAGCCATTCCAGATACCATGAACAATGTATATAATGAAAAGGAAATCATCCATGAGGTAATAGTTCCATCCATGAATATCCAGAATGTCATAGTCGTCGGAATATGTAACCATGTACACATCCATTCATCTTGGACGCATGAAATCATATCATGACGTAAAGTCGTTCCATCGCAATGGTGTTGATGAGACGCAAGCAACAGATGGGGACTAACCCACATCGTGCCGCAATCAGCATCTTCACTACGCATACCTGTCCCCAATGGACAGTCTGTGAGTGCGTCGACGGAACTCCTCGTCCAAGTTCTTCTGGGCTTCTCGCGCCCGGACACACTTCTTGTTATGATCCTCTGGTAACCAGTGTCCTTTCCGAAGGCACCAATCCAGCAGAGGTGTGTCGCATTTGTTCGGGTCGATGGCCGAAATGATGGCGCTCACATTGACCGCGTAACCATATCTGCCAAGGTTCAGGCCATCCCTCACGAATGATATATACTTACAGTTGAAAGCCAGTGAAAAGCATCTGAAAATAATATCACCCACCGGGTGCACTCGGTCCTTGACCAGGAGCTTCATTTCGTCCTTGGTGACGTCGAGGATTCTCGCTGCAATCCACAGCTTGTAGAATGTATATAGTCCCTCGCATTTGCACACCATCATACGAATATATTCTTCACGCTCCTCAACCGATCGGAAGACCCTTGTCCGAACATTCTCTGATTGAGAAATCTTCAGTGCTGTTGATGGCAAAAGGATCCCTTCCTGATCGTGCTCGGTGATGTTGGGATATCTCTTGAAGTCGTTGTGGTAAGGGCAGCCCGTCCTCCCCTCGAGTGCGGCATTCATCGTTCTCTCCTCACCACCCTCGAACATCCCCCACATCTTGGACATCTGGAGTGCGATGAATCCCGCCATGTATTGAGCCTCACGCGGCTCATCAAGGCAAATCGCCATCCGCTGGGAATTTATGATATCCCGTGATGCCAGATCAGTGTCGCGGTAATACCAACCGCTGTCTTCCTCTTCAGACGCGTAGCCGGATGTATATCCTTGCGTGTCCATGTCGTCTTCTTCTCCAGGAACTTCCTCCGCCTCGTCATCTTCCTCCTGTGCTGCCGCATCATGGTTGGCTTCTTCTTGTGCACGCCTGGCATCGCCCGAGACATTGGGCTTTTGGTTGTCCTCCTCGTCATCGGAGTTGATGTGGATGTAGTACCTCCCGGTGGAGATCAGTTGCGCTTCACATTCCAGGCATAAGCAGAAGCATGTGGGGATTGCGGTCGCACATGACGGACATATCCGGCACCTCAGTCCTTCCCATGTCTCATCATTCAGGATGACGACCTTGCTGACTTCGTCCCTGACC